AAACGTCGTCCTGATGAATGAAAGCTATTAAGAAACAAAGCAGCTAAAGGGATTTTTACCTGGCACTCCCAAAGTTGTCTTAATTAATTATTTTATAAAACATTAATAAATTATTTATTTACATTAATATAGACCATAATTAGAGTTAGGGTTAGGGTCAGCACACCTTATGAGCTTGTGGTTCTGAAATTATGATTCTTCCAAAGACTACATTTGTTAAGTTGGACAAGTACAATTATAAAACAAAGAAATTAAAACAACAAATTAACAAATTACAAACAGATTTCTAGGTAGAAACAGATGCCACATTATCATCTCAGTGAAAAGATTCATATAAGTCACTGATGTCTCTTTTGTTCAGGGGGCTCCCCAGCGAGAAGAAATGTTGACCTTCCAAGTTAAAAATACCATGTTGCATCTGAATGGTCAAAACCACAGACTGGCAGCTAAAAATGGCCTCAATTCAAAAACACCTGGCCTCCATCTGTCAGCAACACATGGAAAGAAGGCAGTGGGTCAGCTTACGGCCTCCTCTTCGACCCAGGAGGGCACAGCACAGTTGGACTTGTTGCTGCTCAAGCCTGACTTAGAGAGGGACGCTGCGAATCAGCCAGTTAGACGCCCACTGAAGCTCGCCCCACTGGAGTTGCCAGAGGAAGTGAGGGAGGCTCAGAGGCAAAAACTAAAGTCTATGCAGCAAGAAGCCAAATCTGCTTTCTGCAAGCTGGATAAGACAGTGAGTGAGCCCCATACAAGGAAGGTGAAATCCTCTGTGAGAGAGAGACTGGTAAAAGCTGCAGTGTGCCCTTCTGCTTCCACTGAGCCACTCAAAGCCCAACAGCAAAACAGATCCTCAAGGCCCCAGCTGACACGCTCCAACCCCATAGAGCAGAATGGAGACAGGCATCTGGAGGATGTGGTGTGTCGAGGTACCCCAGCTCCTCTGCGCAGTAAACCTGCCCCTCCTTTACTTTCTCCCCGTGTTAAAGCTCGCGCTGCACGTGGCGCAGAGGCGGCATGCCAAAACCCCAACACCCTCCAGCAGGAGACTGAGAGGAGGCGGCTGAGGCTGAGCAGAGCACAACGCCTAGAAGAGGATGAGTGCCATTCAAACACATCAACAGGGGGATTATCTGCTGATAAAGGCAAGCCGGCCCAAGGCAAAGGGCAGCGGGCGGATAGGGCTCCGAGAGGCCTGCTGCATGCTGGAAAAGGCATCAAAGAGCCTCCTGCAGCCTCTCGGGAGTATGGAAGTGTCAGGAAGAGCCATCCAGAGGATTGCAGGCAGCAATCCGCAAGATGCACTCTGAACCGACAGTTGGCTGAAGGTGGAAGCAGTGACCATGCACTTGAGGGTGTTGAGCAAAGTGCTTCTAACTGGAGATTAAAGAGGAAAAAAAATCCTGATCACAAAGCATAATAATGCAGTCCCGCTGGAATGTCTCCAACTGTAATTAAATTGGATCTGTCACTTTGCAGCTTGGGACTTTGCACAATGATGTCATGCTAGGAGATGCACTTGTGTCAGCAGGAGTCTCTGCAAACAGGCCCATTTTAGAAGTTGATTCAGAGTCTAGTAAACAGTGAAGGAATGATGAAGGATAGATCAACAAAATAATGTAAACTCCTCAGCAGATGAAAAAAAACACATGTAGGGATCAGGAAAATTCTTTCTAAAGTAGTGCCATCGCATTTACATTCCTGATTTAAAGAATTAATCATTTTCAACCAATCTCAAGTTCATCAATGGTCCACTGGACTTTCCCTTGTGCTCCCAAAATAGAAAATAAATATATTAATGAGGAACATTTCACAAGTGTGTGCCAGGTCTCTCTAAGTTATGGATTGTCCAATTTCCAAAAGCTATTCCCAGATCAGAGTATGCACTGATTCAATTAGGTGAAGCACGCATGGCTCTAAGCAAGGCTTCTGGCAAACCACAGGGAGAGTTAAACCACTAGAGATGATCCAAGATAATGAAACAGCTCATAGAAAAGTTGCAGTGATCAGTAGAGCAATTAGTGGGTGGTTTAACGGTTACTGATTGACCTGCAGTTAATGAACACCCTTATGTGATCATTAAATACAACTTTTATCTGTTAAATTCAGCATATGATAATGAATACTGTGATGTATATGTTAACACATTAAACATACCACCAAACTGCATCTAAAGCTAAGATACTGTCTTCAATAATAATAAAAGACTTGTTAAAAAAAACATTCACTTCTTTTAAGGAATCTAGTGTTTCTGCCTGTCTGATTCAAAATATTAATATTCAAATATATATTGCAAACAGTGGTTGCTGCGTTTCTTGCTTTGAGTAGATCAGGAGCAGCCCTGTTTTGTTGTTGTTTGATGGCTCTCCTCCCCCACGCACAATGTTCTGCACGCTGAAAGATTTGGCTGAGGCTCAAAGTCTTCCTTGAATGATGCTTGCTCTGACCTTTTGTCTTTAGCCAGACAGGTAGCATTAGTATATAACTCAGCCTAAAATAGGTCCTTATGATCTCACTGTCTTTGTCATTGTCATACACAACAACCTAGTTCATTCATCAATTTTACTCCACCAAATGAATGGTTTGTTTGCCCTAAACAAATGAGACCATGGTCAAGATGTAAACTGAACAAGTCTGCAAAACATATAGACGACCACATTTCTTTAAGCCCTGTTTTGTATTGTTTCAGAGAGTATCTTTTCTTCTTCTTCTGTTTTTCTCTCTATACCACTAAAATTCTCTATGGATGATGAACATGCTCAAAGTGAGTTTCCCTTTGGTCTTTTGCTCAGAGAAATCAGACCAGAACACAGGCTCTGCACCCGTGAGGAGCTACAGAGATAAAGTCGCCACAGTATGGCCTCCATCCCACCAGTCTTTGTTTCACAGTTTACCGTTTAGAGAGATTCTGCACACTGATCCTTCTTAGTGAATGGAATACTCCATTTAAAATCTGGAGTGTTAAATATCACCCTCCGTAGACTCTTAAGCTTGTATATTGCGACGGCAATTTTCGCCAGCTTTGGATTCAGAAAAAGACAATGAACTCAAGTTGTTATCCAGGACTATACTTGCATCAAAATATGCTTCTTGGTGGTGATCCAGAACAGGTGCAGCTGTTGAATAAATGAAAACAAAATAAATCTTGTTATAAATGTTAAAATGTTGTGCTATATTCAACGCAGACGTAACTGATTTTCTGGCCACTTGGGGGCATTAAAACAGAGTTGGTGATAATTCAATAATTCAAAAATCCATGCAGCAGATACCATACCAAGCCGAGTAGGAGGCATCAAGGCAAAACGTGGTCAAGAGAATGGTTGAAGTTGAAAAGCAATTTGATTTTTTTTTCTTATTTTAGAATAATTATACAAATGTAAATGTAATAAACTAAAAATGAATGTGGCTATTACTATCGTACGGTGAAAGGCTTGGACCTAATTTCTACCTTTAAGAATTGCTGTTCTGCTTCAACACTAATTCAGATATTAATATTTTGAACATATTTTGGAAGATTAGCCTCTTTCTTGTGTGGGAGGTTGAAAGCAGGCTGTCAATCAGATGACAGATGGCTTTCTGCAACACTACATGGTGCTTGTAGCCTCTCACTCAAACTACAAGCTGGTCACCTCTTTAGCCCTTTCACATAAGGCGACAGACGGTTCCAGACTGACACCATCACTCATAACGTGCATCTGCCCCAAATCATCAGCCCACTTCCCATCCACTTCACACTGAGCCTATACATAGCCTGGCCTTTCGCTCACTTTCCTTGGCTACAAAGGCACTGTAAATAGGCCTGGACTGGAATGGCTAACTTGTTTGTTGTACATGACATTCAGATATTGACAGTGTTTTAGAGATTTGTGGTGCCTCACCAACTCCACAGCACATTTGGGAATATTTTCTAATGCAGCAAAAGCATGTGGGGACAAATGTAGGAGCAATTTAAAGGGGAAAGTTCAGCCAAGAGTTGCCAATGTCAGACTTGTGATGCGGGGGACTTTAGAGGAGAAACACAGAATGTCTGCCGGGCAGGATGTCTGACACAGACAGAGAAAGAGAGCTGGTGTGTTTCACTGCAGTTTCCTCTCCTGCCAGGGAGCATGACGGCACATGATAAAGACATCAGTGTACACGGAAATTTGAATTGCAGAACATTATCATCAGAACACACATAGATTTACAGGTTAGTCAACAATGAAATTTTTATCAAGGGGCATAGGATACATGTTAAGAAATTGCTGGGTGAAATATTTAAGCATAGTTGTATTGTGCATGTGTGTTTGCTTGTAAATAAATAATCACATCTGCAAAGTGGATATTATAAAATAAATCTTTCATCATCTCTGAGGAAACAGTAAAATGTCTGGCACAAGAAAACACAGCACAGAAACTGACTAAGAGCAATATAAACTATTGTGGCAAGTAAATAAGTAAATTAAAACATGTATATTTTGGATGTTATATGTGAAATTGTATGAAAAATGAAAGATGTGTGGTCTGACATGATTGTAAACTTGTCAAAGCAACACGACATGAGTAATATAGATCACAGAGCTTTACTGTAAAGTCAGTGTGGGGACAGACATTTAACACAAAGCTGCAAGCATGAGTGTTCTGTAATCATTTCCCCAACTTAAATACAGCCCATCTGCATAAGTGTGCGGCTGGTTGAAGCCAACGTGGCCCGGCCCACCACCGGTCCCAGGGCGGCTCCGCTGTGGCTATCACAGTGGCAAAGGCCGGACAGTTGAGGCGGTTGCCAAGGAGCCATGCCTTTTCTTTGAGGGCAACACTTCAGATGGGTGCAGCCATAAAGGAGAGAAAATAAAGGACAAAAATATCCAGAAAGTTGGGTCTATAATTGGCTGCGCCTCTCAGCCTTTTTTTTTTTTTTTACGTGTGAGCACAGCCCAGTCAAGAACAGTAGAAGCCACTTCATCCCCCAGTGAAACCCTACACTTTCCCCTTTTATTCCCTCCCACTCTGTCCACCCATCCACAAGGTTTCTGAAACTCACCTCACCTCACTTTTTAACAACACTGTACACTGGATTGTCACCCTGGAATATATACTGTAATAATCTCATTTTGGTTTTGGGCGCCTGCAGGAGAGGTATTTTGGATTATTATCACATTACAATGATGCTGCCCCGGTGCTGATTCAGGGTGTGAGTGCTGGAGGCAGAGACAGACACCTGAGTAACGCTAACTGAGTGACAGGCCAGGTAAGAAAAAAATGTGCATTATAAAATCATCAATCTGTCACTGAAATCTTCCTCTAAAAACTGACTCTAAAATATGTATTTATTTGTTAGCGAAGCATTGTTGGCAAGAAATGCTTCTTTTGTAGCCACATGATGTTCAGATGCTTTATCACAGAACAGGCTTCTCCTCTTCTGTGGTTGCACATGGAAAAACATTTTGGGAATGATAAACGTGGTGCTTCTGTTATAGACATTTATACTGCAGTCCCAGGTCTACCATTGAGAGAGGAAGTGGAAACAGACCTGGTGATGCAGATACAGTTTGTAAGGAATCTGGACTCTGGTTCAGATGTTGGCAGTGGCAAACCAGATTGTTTTTATTTTGACCCCAGACACTGTATCTGCTGGAAAAACTGCACCTTAAATCAATGCAGCACTGGGAGAGCATTACAGTGTATTTAAATGTAATCAGAGATGAAAGGGAGACAAATTAGAATATGTTAGATGTGTACAAAGTTGGGTAAAGAGGATTAGAATAATGAACCCAAATCTTGTTCAGCTGCTTTCATAGGGCAGCTGATTTTTTTTTGTATAGTCTTTCTGGGCTGAATTCCTCAGATTTTAAATGCACACTAATTGGGGCAATTACAGTTGAGTGATTTAGCTAGCGTGCCTATTCTGCTCATTAATAGCACTAGTGAAACCAAGTAGCAGAAATAGCATAATGGAGAATCAGATAAGAAAACTTGTATCTGGAGGCCAAAGCAATTTGCTTACCCACAGTAAATAATACGTTCTCTATTTCACAGACTATATAGGCCAAGTCAACAGGTTGCCGTTTGTATGTGCCTCTCCACCACATTTCATGGAGCCTGCTGAAATCACTTTATTTATCACTTCACATATTTATATATATACATATATATATATATATATATAAGATTCCACTGACTGTTGTAGTCATAAAATATGCTTTGAAAACATCTTTGAAACAGGATAAATGCTGCAAGTGTCAAGGGAACATAACTCATTACAATCTGCATCAGTTAATAACAACACAGCACAGTACAATTTGATCATATAACTTCATATTATATAATATGCCCTCCATTAAAGGTGGGGTATGCTATTCTAATGTCTAATGTATATCTTTGTTTCAAATTCAGCGACTATGTCCACACGGTCTGTTAGCTGTGTCAGTGGAAAACAAAATCTGGTTCTATAAATGGAAAACACACAAAGTGGCTCAGACCAAAGCCATAAAATAGTATTCCAACCATGATTTCTGTGTCAGGTAACGTTACATTACTTGCCCACAGACATTCGGCTTACTTTCTAGTTCACCAAGACATGCTGTTGTTATGATGTTAGCTATAGTACCAGGAGAGCTGTGAGTGTCGCTGTCTGCTAACCCACAGCCTAGCTAAAATGATTTATTATTAAATTACTTGCTGTGTCGTTGTTCGTTATGTGTCGTGGTATTTGTCATGGTATTGGATTTCTCCAGAATCACTAAACAAAAGGATTAGTTTGAGTTTTTGAGAAATACATTCATTAGCTTTCAAGCAGAGCGTTGGATGAAAAGATTCACACCACTGTTTCACACCAATCTGTCTGTTAAATAATAAAAACCTCAGCCAGGAGATGGTTAGCTCAGCTTATTATAAAGACTGGTAGCAAGGAGAAACAGCTTGCCTGGCTCTGGACAAACACAACAAAATCTGCCTACCAGCACTTAATTTCTCAAGCACACTTTGTTTAATGAGTGCAAAAACCATGTGTGTACAAAATGACAATTTGCGGTTTTACGGGGAGTTACTTGTGGGAGTCTTTTTAAGGTTGCAACTCGAGTCACTCGTATAGATTAAGGAGAACTGGGGCGAGTTCAATCTCAAATGTTTTGCACCGGTTTGCAATGTTTTCTGATTGAACAACATGTTTCCTTAAAACAGCGTGCTACGTTGAGCAACGGGCTTCAAGGTATGTTTTCTCCCGTTTGGTGGGCGTGTCAGAGGTGTTACCCAATCAGCTGCGACAAGTTTGTAAACACAGCCGTGTTAAAAAGGCAGTAAAAATCAGCGCGCTGGCGCACACAACGGTGTAAGACTTCTTGTTCACTTCTCTCAGCCAGGAAATAGTCTGGGACGTGACACACAGCAACACCTCAACTTGTGTTTTTACACTTTGGTTTTTCCTTGACAAGGTGCTTGTCCAGTTTTTATGCTGACCTATTCTAACTGTCTCTTGGTTCCAGCTTAATTTTTGATGAACAGTATTGAGAGTGGCATCAATCTTCTCACCTAACTCTCTACAAAAAAGCAAACACACGAATTTCCCCAAATGTCAAAGAATTCCTTAAAAATCTTCCATTAAGCACCTTTTTGACAACAGCCTGTGGGTTTGGATGCCATTCACCTCTCTAAAACACTTACATTTACAGAGTCATTCAATGGAAAAATCAGAGACCAAAGAAAAGAGATGAAGGATGGTAAAGAACTTTTCAGAACTTTATGGACTTGTATTATTGCTTTCCAAGCTGTGCGTAACTCAGACTTTCCTCAGCCTCCCCCAGTGACCCTCCGCAAAGAGACCCTCCCAGTCAGGATAAGTCCATGTTATGGCTATGGTCAGTCACACATCAGCCCTAATGGTAGGCATCACAACCGCTGGTGTACATTAAGAGCAAGAATAGTCATGTGTTTACATGGCAAGTTTCTGACAGTGCCACCCAGGCACAACAGCCTCATAAATGAATCCAAAAGAGACGGACTGATTGGTCCTTTGCAACATACTGGTCGATCAAACCTGCAAAACTTTCACTCTTGCAGCTCCAAATGACAACTAGAGATACGTGTGTGAACTCTAATCTCTATGGAGAAATCATGCAATGCAACATCAGCAAACTCCACACTCCTAATTGTTTTTCTTTTTTCTAAATTTTTACTCTTTTGTGGACGGAGATGGTTAAAAATTATTTGGTCAACAAACTTTGGTGAGTCCAGCTTTGTCTGGATAGAGTATACACTTCTTGCTGTAGAGATATGTGAATTTCAGCTTTAGGTTTCAATTATCACTTCCAACATTCCATACAAGAAAGATACTTAAAAATGAGGCAATAGAAAGACAGAATAATTTGGGGCAAGAGATGGAGGATTATTTTCCCAAGTTCCTTTATACATATAAATTGCCTAATGCAATCCTATATCAGCTTTCCACTACTCTCGTGGCAATATAGAGATGTGGCAAAACCCACGTTAGGATGCCATCATTTTTACAGCAATCTCCCTGCACTACAGTGCTTCATCCACTTTGGTTTCACTGTGGAGAGAAAGTATAGTATAGTAGTAGTAAAGAAAGGGACAGCTGAACAGTTGTACATGTACACAGTAGGCTAACTGACTGTACTGTCTGCTAGAGTATATATAACAGTGAATTGTTGATGTTTCCACTGACCTTTCCACAGACTGGACAACTTGATGGTGGTAATAAGCTAAACAAAACAGACCCAAACCAAGGCTGAAATGGAATTACGACTCGGATTTAGGATCACCCTGGTCTTGATCATCCTAGCCTTGACTCTTTCCAGCGAGAGAGTGGAAGCACAGAGGGCAGGTAAGAGCTTTATGATTGAACACTCTGATAAAAGACTTGTGGTATATTGACTGGATGTGACTAAATCCTCCTGTATTTACTTATGACAGGATGTAAAAATGTCCACTATGACTTGGCGTTCATCCTGGATACCTCATCCAGTGTTGGAAAAGAGAATTTTGAAAAAATCAGGCAATGGGTGGCCAACCTTGTAGAGTCTTTTGATGTGGCACCTGACAAGACAAGAGTAGCCGTGGTTCGCTACAGTGACAGACCCACCACTGAGTTCCTCCTGGGTAGACACAGGACCCTGGAAGATGTGAAGCGAGCTTCCCGTAACATACGCTACCTGGGGGGAAATACAATGACAGGGGATGCTATCAGCTACACCACCAGCAACATCTTCACGGAGCAGAATGGAGCAAGGCCCATAGCCAGAGGCATTCAGAGGGTAGCCATCCTTCTCACAGATGGCCGAAGCCAGGATTACGTTCTAGAGCCCTCTAAGGCAGCGGCCAAAGCTGGCATCAGGATGTTTGCTGTGGGCATTGGAGAGGCGCTGAAGGAGGAGCTGGAGGAGATCGCAGCCGAGCCAAAAAATGCCCATGTCTTCCATGTGACGGACTTTAATGCCATTGACAAGATCAGGGACAGGCTGAGGAGGAGGCTGTGTGAGAGTAAGTCAGCCCTCGGGCACAATGCCAAAGCATCACTCATCACACTGCATGCTACATGGCTTCTGTTTGAAGCCTCACTTTGCGGAGCCTCCCTCACCCTGAACGTGCACTTAATCAAATTAGACTCTTATTTTACCCTTTAAGCACTATACGGAAGAAAGACCCTAACCACAAACCCCCACCCCAACCACAAAGAGCAGCTGCACATGCACCCAGGCTATCATAGCTTAGTTTTGACTGAATATGAAGCGTGTGATGGGTCTGTTGCAAAAATTGGCTTGTAAATGTAAGTTTTGTAACCAAGACATTTCTGTGGTGTAGCTGCCTTTTTGACTGTTGCTTTGGTGCAGAGGTGTTTAGCACTGAAAAGCCTGTCTTGAGCTAACCTCAATGGTTTTTCCACTACTGTGGTGAGAAAATCTTTCAACACAGGGACACAGGCTTAGAAAGTAGCTTACATAGCCATATGAATTAGGTAAAATTGTCTTAAAAAATAAAGTAACAGCATGGTGTCTGGTAGCTGTTTGAAGAAGTATCTGCGTGTGAGTGTTTTCATAGAGAAGATGGATGCTTTGCACTCCAACGCTTGAAATTCCTGCCTAAAATTAGCCAGACAGGAAAGAAAAGGATGCCATAAGTCTTAGCCACAAACAGCAAATACAAAAACAGAAATTACGTGATTACATGGTTTAGTACACAGATAAGCAATGACAAACTCTCAACTCTCACTTTAATCTGGCTCTAAAATGTATGACAAGGCAAAACAAGAAAGTGTTGATTCAGACTCTAAAGCACTTTAAATCTTTTGGGGCACGTCATCCTGCAGAGTGATACTGGTGCGAGGGCAGCATGGAGATTCATTTTAAAGCCTCTGACCTTTGACCTTGTTGCCTGACTACATAGATTTTCAATCTGTCAACAACTAATGTTAGTTATAATTCTAATGTTTTATTATAGCATGACATATATGCAAGTTTAGAGCACAATGCTCTGTGGAACTGACCAAAGAAAGTTCCAGTGTTTTCTTTATGTAATCTCTAAAATCACCAGGAGTGAGTCTCCAAGTATATCAGTGGTCAGCACAATTGGCTCACTGAGCAATGCAAGTTATTTTCACCCAGAAAATTATAGCTCTAATGTTTCAAGCGGGCCCAGTGCAGCCGCCCCAGTGTCCATGCTAAATGTTTTCACCTTTTAATCTATATGTTTAAAAATGGACACTCCTTATTCTGCACTGATTCATTAGAGCATGTGTGGCCTCACCTAAGAATACCAACGCACATAATCACACACTTCACCTTACATGACCCTAGTGACAGAGAGCTCTAATATCAAAGCTCTTATCAACGCCTACAGTGTGTTTAAAAAATTCAGCAGCCATAATGATGACAGGCAACGAGGGTAATTGTAAGAATTAAAAATGTTTCAGTCTCTGGCTGAAAAACAAATGGTGGTTGTTGGGTGTGTAATGCTACAGCTTCTGCTGGTACTATGAACCTGCCTGAGACATTCATATCCACAGGCAGGTTTAACATTGCTACCATTTTAACTCACAGCCGGATCCCTAAATTATAGCTTTAGGGCCACAAGTGCAGGGAGTAACTCAACAATCTAGCATGCTAAGTCTCAGGGCTGTGCAGCAACTCAGTCTTTAAAAAGGAGTGACGCACTTACATTCATTCACAGAATGATCATTTTTGGTAGACTGGCTGGCTTTATAAATAAAATAAACCATGTATCTTTTCTTTTCTGAGCTCTTCAATTATCACTTTCAAAAGACTTTAAGAATGAACAAGATTCCTTTAATTTAACTACTAAAGAAACTGATGACAGACAAGGACAAACTATCCAGCTGAAATTAGAAATAAACCATGTGAAATGGAGCTAACAGTAAAAGTAGACAGTAAAACAGTGAAAAGGTTTTCAGATACTGACAGTCAAATTAGCCACTTGGATTTTCCTATTAGGCATGCTCTGGGCTTTGCACTGAACAGAAAAACAAGCCATGTCAACAGAGCTGTCCACATAATGAACGCCACAAAGGTTAAAAGCCACTCTAACATGATAACTTTTATAGCTGTGATTTAAGAAAATCGCAAGGTTTGTTAGTGGGTGTTTGGCAGATACTTGATCTATTAGGGAAGTTGGAGTGCCTCACTGGGATATTTTTGGCCACAGACAATATTTAGCACTGACAATCAGGACACAGACAAATTGTTGGGCTAATATTACATTTAATGAGAAGTTCCTCTGATTTGATTTGCTGTCATACCTAATCAACAACATGAAAATGTATCTTGCCGTGTGGGATGGGTGAGAAGGTTTTATTCATATTCACCTTGTCAAATGTAAATGCACTATCCTTCTCACGATGACAATGCTAACCTGATAATGTCGCAGGTATAATGGTTACCATGTTCACCATCTTGGTTTAGCGTGTTAGCATGCTAGCCGATGGGAAGTAGCACTAAACACAAAGTACAGCTGAGGCTGACCAAAGTACTAAACAGTGGAATTTTGAACCTGATGAAGGTGCTACATGGAAAGGACAAAAGTTGCCTGTATCAAATGGCATTGTAATCCATCTAATAGTTGTTGAGCTATTTCAATCTGGACCAAAGTATTGAACCCACCAGTTGGCAACATGTCCCAATTACTCTAGGAAATCCACAGACACTGGAACAATGTTTCTGGAAAGACAAGAAGATATTACATTTATAAATGTAAATGGTCAGTGCGTTGACAGCCATAAAACAAACTCTCCACCTCAAAGTGACAAAATGTGTGTTGTTTTTGCTGATTTAGGTGAACTGACCCTTTAAAAACATCAATCTCATCTCTAAGCCAATGTTTACATCTAATAAACTAAACAGGATCCATATCTGTGTTCTTTAGTAGTGAAGTTGGAATCTTGACATAAATAGATAACGCCCCTCCTGCCAATAAAAACATAACCTGCTGGTGTTGCCTTTCTCACTGTCACCACCGTCACTGAAATGTGTGTGTGTTGAAATATAAAACTGTCACTGCTTCGTGGGCCTGTGGATGTGCCTCCTGCACTTGTAGAGCCACCCCCCAACCCACAAACTCCACTCCCCCGACATCAGACATCAGGAGCTTTGACAGGAGAGATGGAGGGCAGTCTGCCCACGCCGGTGCTCTTCAGATCACATTTCAGTTCAAAGGCTCCGTTTCAGTGAGATCACCACTTCCTAAAACAATCCAACACTTCACACCTTTTTCATCTGACCACTCATAAGCTTCAGAATGACTGCTTCTAGTTATAAAATGAAAACACAGGAAGATACCAAGTTTGTGATAAAAGTGTCAACAGTTCTCTTTGCCCCACTGTGTTCACAAATGATCACCATATCCTGATTTGCAGTGTCTAACAGAGATGTCCTTTCTCCTCAGATGTCCTGTGTCCAAACATGAAGGTTCAACCTGATCGGTTTAAGCCCAACAGCACCAGTTATGGTCTTGAAAAGGTTCCAGGTATGTGCAAACTGCTGCTTTTCTATTGGCAACACGCAGAGCTGGCAATACTCGTCAACCACAAAGTTCTTTCACATTTCCTACACTCCCACATTTAGCTTTTTTACATGACAAGAAACAAAGAGAAACTTTTCTATATATGAAGATTCATACCGTTTTCACTCACAATTTCTTTTTGACTGGAAACTGAATTGGTTTTATTCATGACTCAAAAAATGCTACTTTTATGGCACATTCATTTTCTGTCTTATAAAAAGTCAATGTACTTGCAAAACCAAAATGCTGTCCGACTTGAATTTACCCACGGTTTCCCACTTTACATCACAGCTATTTTGAAATCCAAGTTGCTGTATTTTAGAAAAGTAGTATTGTCTCTGGTTCCAAGCAGCCATTGGCTTCCATCCATTTTCATATGATATGGAAAATCAATTAGTAAACCCTTCAAACTTGCTTCAGTTGTGTATTTTTTTTTGTCAACGTTTTAGCATCACAAATTCAAAGATGGTTAGCAGTCAAGCTAGCTGTTTCCCCCTGCTTCCAGCCTTTATGCTAAGCTAAGCTAACAGGCAGTTGGTGGTAGCTTAGTATTTACTATACATGATCTAGTCCTCTAACTCTCAACAAGAAAGCGAATAATTCACAAAATATTACACTATTAACCCTCTATGGAGGAAAAACTGGCATACACACTGATATGTTCCTTCACATGCAGCTGTGATTCTCAAGTTCAACGGTTGAATTAGTTGTCTACTAAGTAAAGCACATTGCTAGTAATCATGTTTTTATTTCACGTGTTCCAACTTACTTACTTACTGCCCTTTATGCCTACTGGCGCATATGGCAGCAACAAATGATCTCCACTCCTGTCTCATTTGTTCCACACTGCAATGTTGAAGGTTTCTCAGAACTCTTGAATAGCGTTTCTCCAGAAAGGTCGGATGTTGTTATAAAAGCGTCTTTTGGGGGATCTGTGTTCCTGTCTGTGTCTCCCACCCACATCCATCACACTAAGAGAAAAAACAGATGCCCAGGCATGACTGTTTGGACTCCTGCTATGTTGAACTTCATGGAAAGAGAGATGTCAGAGTGTGTTTTAGAGTAAGTTTGACTCTCAACACATTTGGCTGGCACCTGAAAATCTGTGTCAAAACGAGGGGTCAACTGATATGTGCTTTTTGATAGCAAATTACTGACATTTTGCCAGTGTTAAGTATTTTTTTTCCCGCAAAATCGAAGCAGTCTGTGTTTCTTAAGAAATGTATTCTTGTCAGGCTACAAAGGTCTCTATAAAACAGCATTTCAGCCTTCATGGCTCACTAAATCTCCCCGAAACCCAAAGCAATTACATTTTTGAAGCAGGGTATTCCAATGAGGAATTCATTTAAAATATAATAGGGAATAATTCACATTCATCCACAAATCAAACATGCCACACATTTTGTTTACCCACTAATCATTTTCTGGATTTTTGGGGTGCTGGATCCTGTCCCAGCATGCACTGGATGAGAGGCAGGGTACACCCCAGACAGGTTGGCAGTCTATCACAGGGCTGAAAACTAAAACAAGCACATTCACTCCTACGACAAATTTAATGTTTCCGATCCATCTAATTTCCATGTTTTCAGGCTTCAGAGCACCTTGAGGAAACCCATGCAGACATAATGTGCAAACTCCACACAGAAAACCCCCAGACAGACAGCAGTGTCTGTGAAGTACTTTATACTTTAAGCCTGCTGTGTTAACCAGATAAAAAAGAATTACAAAAAAAGAAATGGCAAGTAAATAAAATGTCTTTGCAAGTTTCAAACCATCAGAGATGGATGACAATGACAGGCTGATATTTGATTTGTAAAATATTCTAGACCATTGTTTCAAATCTAATGATACTTTATTCAAGGCATTCCTTATGAGTTACAAAACTGTTAACTGTTTAAACCTTTGCTTTGATACACTCACATTCTCATTTAAAGTGACTTTTTGGTCAGAGTTATAGAACAGCCAATCAAGGGTGATTTGGCAGTACAGGGCAGAGGAGCACGTGCTTCTGTTCATAGCTGACAGCATCATTCCCACTGTCGAGACATTTGATCAGATACCTGTGTTAATTATCCTTTTCCTCTAAACTGCAAAGGAATTAGAACAAACTTTAGATAAATCAGTGAAACTCACCGATGTTTTATTAAACAGATTTACCATGCTGTCAAATTCGCTGTAAGCGCTCTTGATTGGAATAAATCTTTTGGGCTGTGTTTTGTTTGTCTTTCTAAGTCACATTCATATCCAACTCTTGTTCCATTGGAAAAGCGATATGAGAAAATCTTTTTTTCATCTAACCAAAAGCTAGGTTATTGTAGAATACACCTTAAATATACTGCACACCACACTGATTTATATTTTGTTTACATTTAGCAACCAGTGCCACAAATGAAATGGTGCTCCCCTAGAACTACTATAATCATTTAAAATTCTTAGTTACTGTCATGGTGTATTTATTTAGAAATGGATTTCTCTATGATAGTGGTTCCCACAGTGTGGGCCAAGGACCACCATGAGTACATCAAGAGGCTAAGGTAGGTCACCAGAAAAAAATTTGTTGCCAGTGTGAGAGAAATTATAAGGACTGTTATCTACAAAATAGCACAGACAGTTCTGTCATAATCAGATCTAGGAGCCAAAACCTGCATTGGGCCCCACTTTATAAACAGCGATCCGAGGTCTGAAACTCTTTCACATGACAAAGATATCCGGGGTTTTCCAAAATGCACTAAGTCTGTAACTAGTCTGTAACTGTGGCCTTTCAAGATATACATTGTCAAACTTACTTAAGTATTCTTTTTTAGATTGTGGCTAAGCACATAGATTTTTTGTCTACATACAGAGAACTACTACACAAACAGTATTTATCGTTACTACGGCAGCAGCTTCTGTAGGCTCCCACTTATAATTACACAATAAAAGCTCTCTTTGCGGGTGCAGAGAGAGTGTAATTCACCATGAGAAATGTCAAGACTATTTGCCACTGATTATGATTTGACAGCCAAGAGACCTGTGGTTTGAGTCAGACTTGTATTTATCATGGGCTGTCTAGTCTGACCCCTCAGGCTATTGAGCACACAAGAGGCTGCAAAGTGTCTTTGCGGCTCTGCGCTCACTATCTGCTGCACAAATGTTGCCATCTGCTCTGATCAAAAGAATGCTGTATGTATGCGTTTGCCTTTCCCAGTCAGTGAACTCATCTGGCTTTTCCCGCAGATCACCCCATTGGTCGTTTTTGGCTGTCCAAAATAACTTTTTGGGTTGATTATACACTATACACTGCCAGTCCAAATTACAGCTCTGTGCTGAGATGGCCCGTGAACAGCCACAGAAACGGCGTGGTGAGCGAATGTGCACGATGCAAGCATGGAGACAGAGAGAATCAAGGCCAGCAAAACTCACAGCTGCATGGCTTCCTCGAGCAACCCTTCAGCCAGACTGATAAGCAGCAAAACACAACTTTTGTATGGCATCACCAAATGCTGAGCAAACACTAGTCGCTTTACCTTTTTACCTGCTAATTTGTTTTACTGGTCAGTGCTAGATTTAGCGCTGTCATTCTCAAAAGGAAGACAAGGCCTTTATATCAGACTTTTATCAGTAGATTTCAATCTTTCAAAGCTTTTTTATCCAGTTAACTGCATGTGTTCTGCTTGAAATGTGTGCAAGTATGAGTTTGTGCTTTGCTTTTAAACATGGGAAACCTACCACAACTGCAATAATCGGTCTGTCTGCTCCAACACTGTTAGATATGCTAATCATCCTGATTGAGACGACGGTCTCTGTGGCTTAATCTAATGTCTTGCCACAAGGCAAGAATGTGGTAATGTTATAAAATGTATGTGATTGATAATTTAATTACTTTACCAATTACTACATATAAAAGTATTAAAGAGTACTAGGGAAAGTAACTTTAGCATTTGTTTTAAATATCTGCTTCAATTCTCTTATTAATACACACATACAGCATCTCACAAAAGTGAGTGCACCCCTCACATTTTTGTAAATATTTGATTATATCTTTTCATGTGACAACACTGAAGAAATGCCACTTTGTTACAATGTAAAGTAGTGAGTGTACAGCTTGTTTGACAGTGTAAATTTGCTGTCCCCTCAAAATAACACATCACACAGCCATTAATGATCCCCTACCTTCGGAGACTGGGCCGCAGGGCAGTATTCCAACATGAAAACGACCCCAAATACACCTCCAAGACAACCACTGCCTTGCTAAAGAAGCTGAGGGTAAAGGTGATGGACCGGCCAAGCATGTCTCCAGACCTAAACCCTATTGAGCACAAGGTCTCTAACATCCACCAGCTCCATGATGTCTACATGGAGGAGTGGAAGAGGACTCAAGTAGCAACCTGTGAAACTCTGGTGAACTCCATGCCCAAGAGGGTTAAGGCAGTGCTGGAAAATAACGGTGGCCCCACAATATATTGACATTTTGGGCCCAATTTGGACATTTTCACTTTTGTTGCCAGCGGTTTTGACATTAATGGCTGTGTGATGTGTTATTTTGAGGGGACAGCAAATTTACACTGTTATACAAGCTGAACACTCACTACTTTACATTGTAGCAAAGTGTCATTTCTTCAGTGTTGTCACATGAAAAGATATAATCAAATATTTACAAATATGTGAGGGGCAAGACAACTGTCAAATTATCACTATGATGAAAAGTAGGTAGTGGAACAACATGCCTGGTAGTCAGTCTGTTTTGTTCTGCCTGGCAGACAAATTCATGGGTTTCCAATAATGCCCGGGCAGTTTGAATGGAGAGGCACCTCCTTGGTCGGGTCAGGGTCTTTTGTGATAAGCTTTATAGAAGGGTGTTGTTTTGCTAGGTGCTTCAGAAGATTAGAATAAGTGGTCTTTGATGTGGATAAAGTTCTCACATCTGCATGAAGATTAGATTCACCACCATACTGTAGTCCTTGATCATGCGGATGGAAACATAATGTCCATATTTCCAGGGCAGCAAGCTCACATTGCCTAACTGTCAACTGTTATGCTAATTGACCCTTCGCTAAGCCACAACCCCAAATACAAAGCTGGCCAATCATAGCACAGTATATGACTCACTCTAACTGAGGTCTGACACTTTCATGGCTGTGCTCCATTGACTCGTATGCAAAAACATTAGTTTTCTAGCTTTTTTTGGCTGTATTTTTAAGCTTCTATCTTTCATTTTTTTCACTTCCGTTTGAGTCAGTTTGAGCCAGTTTGACAGCGTGAATACAACCTTCAAATGTATAACGTATGTATAATGTATATCTGCTTCTTTCTGAGATCGCTTTTTCCAACAAATTTAACAATATTTCTCCGGGAAGTGCAGTAATGGACAGTAGCAGCGGCAACAGTTTGTCGGACTTAGCAACAGTAAGGAGGGCGGGGCTTAGCGAAGGGTCAGTTGATTGATGCATTGTGCCGCCATGATGTTAGATCATATATTAGGGAATAAGAAACGAGTTAGGAACCTATTTAAATTTCAGTAATTGTAATTGTGTTAAATTTATACAATCAGTTACATTTCTAGTTACCGCCAAAAGTACTGGAATTCCACTTTGTTGCTTTGTAACAAAAATGTCTAACTCATGTACAATCAGCACAGATAAACTTCATGTGGTGAATGTAGTAATCTGAGGGCACAGTAATCTGTTACCCCTAACCGTGCATCTGAGACACAGCTCTTGTTTTTTAATGTTATTTTTTACTCTGTTGCTAATGGCACAGCAGCAGCCCGTGTGTCTTAACCACCTGTTTCCAGGCTATTTCTAATGACATCCACAAAGCTTTTGCCAGACTCTCACATTACCACCTTAATGTTACGGTTTCCTCTTTGGTAGATTACTGCCCTGGTGTTAATATTCCCACCGTAAACCTTACATCTCATAGATTTTGCTGCATTACTAAGGCCATGCAGCAATATGTTCATGTTGTCCTCATCCAGTTGCCTCGCTAATTGCACAGAATACTTTCAGAAGAGCTGAATCCACACAACTTAACCACCGGCTTTCAGTGACATCGGCTGGACAAACTGGCAGCATTAGTGCTGTTCAAGCTCTCATGCTGCTGGCATTACCATAGCTACAGCTCTTGTTTGTTGCACAAGGGAGTGTCCTTTCTAAACCACCTAAATATGATCTGTGGTTACACCACTTCACATCACACGCTGTGCAATGTACACTCACGTGCACACACTCTCAGACTCACACCAGTGATGGCAAGGATTTTTTCCCTCTGGCAGCAAATCTAACAAAAGTTGAATGGCCAACAAATGGCTGTATTTTCCAGTTATTCAGTAATGCTGTGATTTTAATCTTTCTCCAAAAAGCCACAAACACAGTGGCTGCAGGGTGTGGTGGGACTGACCCAATTAAACCTCAGTATACCCAGAGAAATCTGACAAAACCATAACTCAACCTCACGACTCAAGAGCTGTGGGCTTGTTTATGTGTGTATGATAGACTGTCTTGAGCCCAACAAGGCTATTTTACTATGTTGCTGCAGGGTTCGACCTGATGGAGTACTTCAATGTGAGAGATATTCTTGGAACCAAAGATGATGAAGGCCAAAGTTCTTATGTCCGCCTTGGCACCATGCCCATTGTACAGCAAACAGAGTAAGTGACCATCCTGTTGTTCTGCAAACAATACAGTGCACATTAAATATTCTTCTAAGTATTTGTAAAGCATTTTAAAAAGATTATAATATTGTGGAAACCATATGAAACCATATTATCATCTGGTTGCTGCTGTTTACATTCACCTCAGATGCAAATTCAAAAAAGCACTGTGGAATGTTTGGGAGTACACGTGTAAGTATATATGTATGTAAATAACTGTATATATTGTTTTATTTTATTTGATATGTTACCTTATTTTAATATAGGTCTATACTTAAATATATGTTGTGTATGTAGCATGAAGGAACTACGAATTTAATTTTGTTATGCAGCCTTGTGCTGTACAACCTTGTACCTTGAAAGGTTTTTCTTCTGTAATTTTATTTTATAAATTAAACTTTCATATGTTCTAGATTCATTACACATAAAGTGAAATATTTCAAGCCTGTCGTTTGTTTTAATCTTGATGACTACAGCTTACAGCTCATGGGAATCAAAACTCTAGTATCTCAAAATATATCTGAATTTTAGAATAAATAATTTATGATACAGAATTTTCGACCTGAGCCTTTTAATCTCTCAGTCTGGTTCTGGTGCTAACAATTAAATTTCAACAATATTCTTTTTTAAAAAAGAATATCTTTCACTAGTAAAGTCATGGCCAGAGTAACCTGTTGGGGAACCACAGGGCAAACATTTGCTGCTACTGAATTGGGTTTGTACATCATTTCTAAACTTTAATGGGTTCACTGCAGCTGTAGAGCATCACATATACAGTTTATGTTAGCAGTAACAATGTACTCTTCTTCTGCAGAGATGTGTTTCCTCAAGGGTTGCCCGATGAATATGCCTTTGTGACGACATTCAAATTCAGGAAAACCTCAAGACGTGAAGACTGGTACCTTTGGCAGGTTTTTGACAAATATGGAATCCCACAGGTGGGTCAGCCAAATGTCCATGTAACTTTTCTCTTCTTCTAAAACTGATGTCCCCCAAATCCTATCTTAAAAAGCAACAATTTGAGATGTCTAAACCTTGTACCTTCAACTGGCTTTATTATGTACTGTTATGTATATTGTGCCTCCACAGAAAACAAGGTTTAAACTCTTTGTATTTCTCTACCTGTCGGCTTGAAGTTGACTGACTGATCGTTTACATTATCCTGCCTCTGACTTGTCAGGTGTCCATCCGCCTGGATGGCGAGAACAAGGCGGTGGAGTACAATGCTGTCGGCTTGACAAAAGATGCTGTCAGAACTGTGTTCAAGAACCCTGAGGTTGACAACCTGTTTGATCGCAACTGGCACAAGATTGCCCTCAGCGTGGAAGCCAAGTCTGTGTCTCTGTACCTGGACTGCAAGCACATCCAGACTTTGCCCATCGAATACAGGGACGACATTGATATCCAGGGAAAGACAGTGATTGGGAAGAGGCTGTATGACAGTGTTCCAGTTGATGTGAGTCTTTACCTGCATGTGTGGTAGTTTAGCATACTCATGTAGTGAACCAAGGTTCATTTCTCGTTGTTGTTCTGTTATCAACTGTCTGTCTGTGTCCATGCAGTTTGACCTCCAGAGGATGATGATTTACTGTGATTCCAAGCACGCAGAGCTGGAGACCTGCTGTGATCTACCCAATGGACCTGTGAGTATTGTAGGCAGTGTCAAATATTTCCTGCCATATCTAGTTCCACAATGGAGATTCATTAAAGATTTGGCTGTCTAACAGTAGAAATAGGCGAGCGTGGTATTGATCTTCCCATCTAACTCTCGCAAGAACAGGAGGAAGTGTATTTCCCAAATTTCAAACTATATCATCCCTGATTTCCACTTGAGTAATAAATGTAAAATTCACAGATGTGGATTACTTTACAGACTCCAGCTGTCTCCACAGAGTGTGGTAGGACGGCTTTCTGTTCTTTTGCTCCATATTTATGGAACAAATTGCAGAGCAAACTCAAGTTAAACACTCTGGTGTCACTAACCCAATTTAGAAATATTATGTAGAATCATTATGATGATTCATGCAATTGTTTCCCTTGATTTGTACGTCTTGGTTTTGTATGTTTTAATTAAGCTTTTGCTTTTTGTATGTTGTAACTAATTTTTAACTATGACTTGTTTGTGTGTCTCCTGTACATGTTAACATGTGTACACAGGGCACAGCCTAAAAGGAGACTCTGGTCTCAGTCTGTTTTCTTAGACAATATAAAATAAATAAAACTTTAAAAAGCAATCGACTGCTAAGATGCACTGATTCTAGCTTCCCAAATGTCTATTACAACATGTGTGAAAGCCAGAGTGGCTTAAAGTTCATCAGATATTCCTGAAACCACTACTGCTACAATATTTTTGGGCTGACCATTACTTATGGCATAAATCGTGTCATTTCAGTGTCCTAAGAAAGTTGTGACAGAGGCCCCCCCTATAGAGATCCCCACTCCAACACCTACTGTTGGGGAGCAAAAAAGAGGCCCTGAAGTGAACTGCTCGTGCCCTGCAGGAGTGAAGGTAAAGCCTCCTGATTTTACTAGACTGTATCCCCGTCTGTGAGTTCCACAGATGAGTAGGAATCCTTTCTTTAATGGCTTTCAAGAGACGACTGTGGTTTCATTTCTCACAGGGAGAGATCGGTGTACCCGGTGTTGCAGGTCCTAAGGGTGAAAAGGTCATCTATCATTGGCTTTCAGTACAAGTTTGTGTGTGACAAAAGACTACAGTTTCAATATGTTCTAGAGTTGATTGTTCTACTTTTTTACTGTGTGAACATGCCTACATTTTCAGGGTGACACTGGCCCTAAGGGTGCCCTCGGACCGCCAGGAGCCAAAGGAGTAAAAGGAGAAACTGTATGAAATCTTAAAGTGTGCATTTACAAGTGTTGTTTTGTTTTTTATGGACAGATAAGCTAACTGATTGCGTGTCAGCTCATCCTGCTTAGTGCTTTGTTGGTACTGTACAGTAGACATACTATGATACACATTTCAGATTGAACGCCTTTCAGCTATTATCTTATCTGCTTTTCTTCCTTTCTGCCTCGACAATAATTGATCCGTATTGATTAATTATTTGCAGGGCAACATAATCTCTGTCAAAGGTGACAGAGGTGAGAAGGTAAGTAAACCTGCTCTTCCTGACGCTGCATGAGCATCATGCTAACCCACATACGTTTGTCTCTGTGCTAGAGCTGCAACAATTAATCGATTAATTGTCAACTATTAAATGAACTGCTAACTATTTAGATAATAATATTTTAATAAAAGTTAAAATTCTTCCAGCCTCTTAAATGTGAATATTTTCTGGTTTCTCTACTCTTCTATGACAGTAAACTAAATATTTTTGAGCTGTGGACAAAACAAAACATTTTAGGAAGTCATCTCTGGCTTTGGGAAACACTGATTGACCTTTTTTTTAAACCATCTTCTGACATTTTATAGACCAAACATCTAATCGATTAATTGAGGAAATAATCGACAGATTAATCTACAATTAGGTGCAGCCCTACTCTGTGCATATTTTATATGCATGTAGATCTTTATTTCTTAAAAAAAATCACATTTTCTATCTTTCCCTTTTCTTTTGTTTCATGTTTTTCTTTTATGTATGTTATTATACATTCAACCTCTTTTCTGTCAGGGAGTGGCCAGGAAAATGCTCATAGCTGTTCTTGTCAGAATTAAAGGACGTGTTACCACAGAGGATGTGTAGCAGAGAGGGCAGGCCTACGCAGATGCCCACCCACCTCAAATCACAGCCTCTGTTCTGCTTGGCACTGCCAGCTGGGAGTCGCAGAGTATAATTTATTTCTTGAGACAAAATCTTTGGCATGCATCATTCAAGCTGTCCAGGGAGGGACACTTAAAATGGCCACAAGAGGTCTAGAAGACGAGACATGGTCTTCTCACTTGTGGCTGTGATAGTTTTGCAAATGCATCTGTATATTCTTTTGGATAATACAGAGGTACCTTTAGTATATACCTCTAGAGATCCATCTTATTTTAATGTTAGTAATGTAGTCAGACAGACAGCTGAACTCATTTCATGATAAATTTATTTTCATTTCATAGTGCTTGCTGCTGGAGACCTTGCTGGTTTGATAAAACTGCATTAAAGCAAACTTTAATGTGGAGCATCCCTGTTGCTTTTCTATTTCTTACTTTTTGCATGAGCATCTGTCTTCACTTTCTCCCAGAGAAGGCTGCAATTTGTTGTTGTAAACTTTTCAAAAGCTGGTGCAAAAACATGACGTAAGCTGACTTCAAGCTGTGGTTAAAAATGGCTATGTCGGTCATCGAGACGCATGGGGTGAAAGTGAATCCATCCAGCTTTGATTGCTTCTAATTGCATCTTTAACCGACAAGAACAGTCAGTTCCCCGTGTAGCAGTGTTGTTATAGATAATGTCTTTTTTGCTATAGGGCACAGCAGAGCGGGGACCTTTCTCCTAATCTCTATGATGAAAGAAATGACGTGTGTTAAAATGATATAAGCTCCTAAAGTAATTAAAGGGCAACCTTCTGTGACTTGTAAAGTGCTTTATGAAGCACAGGGAAGTCTTATGGTGGGCAAGACCTTGTGGTACTGTGTAATTTAACAGCCATTACTTTTCACTCAGTCCAGCTTTCGAATTGCAAGGGATTCCTTGGCATAGCATAGGACATCGGTGTACAAACCAAAAGTGCAACATTGAGGACAATGGAAAGTCATTGTTCCTTGAGTCTTTGGTTGGATGTGTGACCAGACCATAGTGGGTCTTGGTGAAGCTGTTGACAGCTGTTAGCATATTCTGGCTCCCAAACATTTGCTCAAAAGTGTGTATGTGTTTTTGTGTATCTTGACTTGTTAACTCTTTGTGTTCTGTGTGTAATGTTAACTACCTTTTGTCCAAATGTCTGTGTGACTGTGTGTTCCACTGTTCGATTAATCACACCAATTCATCTCTAACATTTGTACTTGCTTCTACATTAATCCTCCAACCACCATGTACTAAATGATGTTCTGTGATGCTACCAGGTTGATATTCTGACGGCACGCCATCATCGCCTGTATAACCGGACATCTTGCATGCTTATGTATTACAGCACAGTCAAAGTAAATACTTACCTTCTGTTTACAGGGTGATTCAGGCACAATAGGGTTGACAGGTGCTCCTGGACAAAAAGGAGAGAAGGTGTGGCACTTGTGGACCTGGACATGTGGAGGATTTCTTGTTGATTGTTGAATCTTAAAAGTTCACATACTTGTATTAATTATGTGTTTCCTATCGTCTGACAGGGACTTGGTGGTGTGCCAGGTATTGATGGCTTATCTGGAGACAAAGGAGACAAAGTAAGAAATACATTTTTTGATATGTCTGTCTGGGTTTGGCACACACTGGGTTTGCAAATGTGTGTTTACATTTGTATGTTCTCTTTTTGTAAATAGGGTGGAGCAGGAAGGGCTGGTGATCCAGGTCTGCCAGGACCAGCTGGACAAAAAGTGTGTGAATTGGTCTTCCCATATTTTATCCATTCATGAGCCAATGCACATGCATTTGGCTCTGATCTCAGAGACGCACTTGTTCTGTTAAGTGGGCGTATATATGTTTTTCTGGACCATTACCTTTCAGCCTGTTATCGATTTCCTGTAAAAAGCGGGGGCAGTTTGGTTGACTTTCCCTTGGACGAAGCAGCAGCTGGTTAAAAGAGCCAAAAGTGGGAGGAGGGAGGGATTCTGGCTCAGGTTTGGCCAATGGATTTTGACAGGCTGCTCATCTCAGGACTGGAGGAAATGATCGCCCCCTTTTGATACAAAACAGGGAATACTACATCAGTTCATGGTAGAGGGTAGAGACTGCGTGAGAAAGACGGTAGGAAAAAGTATGTAGTATATAGTATTACCATTAAGATGTGGTGTGAAATTACCATAACACAAAATAAATAAAGTAACTAAAATATTTGTGTGTAAGGAGGTGAACACTCAAATAGAAGCCTGTCACCTTGTTGCTTAACCATTGTTAGCTAGCTTTGCAAATATGGTGCCTAATCTGTAGTAGGCTACATGTGGCAAAATGTTTTGTGGAATGTGGTTTTATTAAAACTCCACTATTGATTTTTTATATTGAATCAAATGACTATGTGTGAAGTCAGTGAAAGGGGTCACTCAACATAGTTTAACTCACAGAGAATTCTAACCACCACCATAGTCTCTTTTAACACATTGTTTTGTTTTTATGGATATTTACTGTATGGTTAAGTATTTCTTCTCTCACTAATTCCATTTCCACAACAAAAGACAGCTGTTCCAAGGAAAAAATCCTTCTTGAGCGCTGTACGCTAGCTACCTAGCATAAACGGCAGAGACAAAGCGACTGCCGCTAACTAGTTACAGTCAAACATCTAGCTGGCAGCCAAAGAGCTAGCTATTTTTCTCAGGAGTGTAGATGGATGGAATTCAGACATCATTGGTTTTATTATTTACACCTGTACACTCTGTGACAAGTCAAAATGTCTTTTGTGAAAAAGTCATATTCAATCACTTATTCTTTACAGTCCATTAGTGAATGATCTGATTAACCCACTGATGCTGCTGTTTTACTCTAGAGCACTGTAAAGAGGTCAAATTACACTTCAGTAACATTGTTTTTTTCATTTAGTCATAAAGCAAACCGTTCAAAATCCAGCTGGCAATACTGATTAAAACATAATTTTCCTACACACAGTATGTTAATTGTTATAAACCTTATTAAAAGCAAAATAGAAACAGATGTTATATTGTTGCAATAGGTCAGAGGTCAAAGTTTAAGGTTTTCCCATTGGGGGGTTGGGGGGTTCCTGTCAATAAAAAGTGGTCAGCAAAGTGTCTCACATTGATTCAGCTCTGACTCAGCAGTCCACCAGTTGGCCTACAGTATATTGCTGAGTCAGTGGACACAGTGGAGAGTCCCAAGTCAATAACACCCACTAATATAATGTTGTTCCATTTATATCATATAGGGAATTCAAGGAGATGCAGGAATTCCTGGCACACCGGGACCAAAAGGTGTCACTGTGAGTATAGTCTGAATGCAAGTGATCGGTTAAGATCTGATAATGATAATAATCATTGTCCTGTGTTTTATTTTAGGGTGATATAGGTATAAAAGGTGAAAAAGGAACTCCGGGACCCCGGGTAAGTAATACAGTTCTATTTCCATGATATAACAAATCAAATTTGAATTGCTGAATTTAAAAAGATGATATATGGCCTCATAGATCCACTGCAGCAGATAGGGGTTCAGCATCTTCCTCAAGAGTACTTGATCAAAATGGTAGTTTCTGGGAGAGAGTTGCTCATTTATTTTCCCTGTTCACATTTTCCCAGCATGGCCTGGGATTTGAACCATGATGTTAGATTGAACCTGTACAGAATTCATACTGCAAATGCTGATGACAGGGTAAACTTCTGAGAGAGCACATTCTTCTCAGAGGAACTGAGAACTGAGGGGCGTAATTGTGCAGACAGATGTGGCTTCCTTGATTCACTCTCCATACTTCCTGTCTGGGATTCTGTGGGGGCGTTTGGCTATAATGCAGCTTATTCAGGACTACTAAAGATCTGTTGATGTCTGAAGTTTCCTCTGAGATGCTAACACCTTCCTCATTTTGCCAACACAATGATGTTAGAATGAAATTCAGACTGCTCATAAATTAATGAACGGTTATCTCGCTGCATCACAGAGGTTTCCAACTGAAGTCAAGTTGTCAAGATGTTTTTGTGATCATGATTTCAGTGATACTATGAGGTCGAGTAACCACAGCAGGGAGATAGAGGAAACAGTTGTAACGATTGCTGTTGTCTCATGCTGAGATTCCAACTTGAATTTGAATTTGAAACATTTTTACAAGGGGTCTGTATAAAGCAGTGAACACGGAATCAGTACATTTATTACATTTCCATATGGCATGAGGCTGTGTAGCAAGTTCTAGGTATACCGAAGCTCCATTCAGACATGCTGATGCCAGGTTTAGAGCTGTCTCTCAGCCAGTCAGTCAGTCTTAAGCAATTTCCTGTAGCTGAAAACTGGAAAAGTACTTGCCTCGGTTTAGATGGAGTCACCTGGGGTTGAAATCAGGGCAGTGTTTTGGGCTGCTTAAAAATCTGCTCTCTACTGACCATGCTAGGCTCTAGGGGTGGTTATGCGGACCAGTCGGTCCACCACTTTGGTCCAGACAGAAATAAATCAAATGCCAGGAAATTGGCTACAGACATTCGTGTCCCCACAGGAAGAGCTGTAACAACTTTAGTGATCCCTGACTTCTTAACTAGTGTCAATTTCAACTTGTTTAATACTTTGGTTTATGACCAAATACCTGCAAAACTAATGACATTCCGATCAGCCACAGCTGCACTTTGTGTTTAGTGCTAATAAGCAAATGATAGTATGCTAGCATGCTAAACTAAGATAAACTAAGACTATAAATAGTAAACATGTACATACCTGCCCGTAACATTGTCACTGTGAGCATGTTAGCATGCTCAAAGCTCAGCTGTCATGGATCCGTTAGAGAGAACGTTGTGCCTCAGTACAGCATCTCAGAGCTAGCCTACTAGCTTTGCTGTCGACCCTTCAGTCTTGATTTTTGATAAATTTTTCCATTTCGTTCACTGCTCTGTTTCCTTGGATTTTCTGTTAATTTAAGTTTCTTGCCTTTATCTGTGAAGCCATGGTAGCTGTCGCTGCACATGCTAACTATGCAACACTTTTATTTGTTGCAAACAAACTGGAAATGTTACAGACTTTAAAACAAAAAAACTCACCAGACATTGGATTGTGCTAACATTAGTAAATATAAAAGTTTTCGTGACTAACTTTTGCTTAATGTCAGTGGAAGATAAAGACTGGTATTTATTTAGACAATATAGCCAGCCATTGCCTATTTAAACCTTATATTGTCTTTGAGCAATGCTTTACACATGCTTTCTTGTGCACATGTTTCCATTTTAGGGTGAGGCAGGTTTGGATGGATTACCTGGCAAACCTGGTGTTCCTGGGAAAGATGTAAGTTAACATTCTCCTCCTGTTATCTGCACTTACAAACAGATATTCATCTGTGACAGGTATGCTGTGTCACCTTTGTATTAATAAAGCTTTTGTCTTAGGGTTTGAAAGGACTGGCTGGTACACCCGGTGCCAGCGGAATGAAAGGCAACAAGGTATGGCCGCCCCACCCCTCCTGTGCTGTATGTAAAACACGCTGTTCACTTTGAATTACAAACAATTCAAAGAGGATATTGACCTTAAGTATAATGTCATTAAGCTGCACTGATATAAATCATTTCAAAGAGGTATCATTAGTCTCCCAAGCTACTGTCTGCACTCTCCAGACATTCCCCACTCTCCTCTGTGTACCATCAAAGTCAGCCCACTCATTTGTCTGAGAAAATAAAATGCAGAGTTCACTTGTCTGTCTGTAATTACTGACTTTGATGATTGTTCCAGTGGTGCACACATGCTTATACCACACCCAAATGCATGCACAAGGATGCACTCACACACATATGCGCACACAAGAATTGCCTTGGTATTTTACCCACAAATTTCACTTTCCTTTAGGGCCTACAAAAAGTACACACTTCAACACGCGTCATCTCATAAATTATGGTCATTGGCGTATCATTACCATATTGCCCAAGGTGCATTACCCTGAAAGTCTCTTGATTCTAATGACAGGCTTTTTATCCTTGTGTGCACTACGTCACAGGGTGAGAGAGGCCTTCCCGGATTACCTGGGGATATGGTAAGTACCAAAAATAGACCAAAAGGATATGAGAATTATATTCTTTACAGAATTACAGGCTTGTTAAGCAATAAAAAGCATAATGAAGCGATGGAGATGAATGGCATTTTCAAAAAAGCAAACAACAACAACAAAAAAACAAACATGTGTTGAAGGTTTATATTCTACATATTATCTAGGATCAGTGACAAACCTTGTTCTAAGTGGAAACACATATCCAGAGAGGTTCCCCTGGTGGAAGAAGCTAAACAATTAATCAGTTAACTGATTAGTCGATTTACTGATAATAAATCGGCAGCTATTTTCCAAATTAATTAACAATTTTAGTCATTTTCAAGCAAAACATTTGCTGGTCCAAGCTTCTAAATCATGTAGATAAACATAATTTCATTGGGTTTTGGAAAAAACTATCTGCATGCTTCTCCTAGTGCTACAGGAAATGTAACCATTTTCTGACATTTTTATGAAGGAAATAATTATCAGATTAATTGATAATAAAAATGATCGTTGTTGCAGGCCTATGAAGGAGTCAGGAACACATTATCTTAATGTGTTTATTTTTCTACATGAAACCCTAGACAAGTTTTTGATGTCAAATATGCTGTGAAACTAAAATACTATTTGTGCGAGATAAGGGTTACCAGCTGCATTGCCCATGGCCTTATTTCTTCACAGTAATTAAACAGTTTTTTATAATTAAACAGTAAGTAGCACAATGGATCTGACAATAATACTAATATGAATATTTATTTTTCCTTTTAATTTCAGGTTCACAGAGAAGGCTTACAGGGTGAAAAGGTAAGTAATTGTTCAATAATCATATACTTTACCTCATTAACAAGTAAGTACATATTTAAAGACTGCATGTTAGTATTAATGATCATAAAATCAAAATGAACTACAATACATTAGGTAAAACACTGGGTAGCAGATCATTAATCAGCATTATTCCTACTATGAAAAATGCCATGATCAACATGAACACAGAAACAACTAAACTATATTGTGGTGTATTAACTTTGTAGGAAATTGTGAAAAATAATTAGTGTCTAGTCTGAACAATTTCAACAGAACAGCTGTAATCAACTGTAATCTGAAATAGCAGGACATGTTATATTACGTATATAATGATATGTGTAATACATACTTGTGTGTTCAACCTGTTTTAGGGAGATGCTGGACCTCAGGGGCCTCCAGGGGCCGATGGCCCCCCAGGGCCTCCAGTAAGGATCATGATTTATTACTTCCTTCCTACCAACATATTTCTTCTTTGCTGCTGTTTGGATTTTGATATTTTGTTGTTGTGGCAAAGCCACCTGTAGTGAGCTGGTTACTTCTCCCATATAACTGTAGCTGAACATTTTATTCCTCAGGGTCCTCCGGGTCTACCTGGGGAGCCTGGAGAGTTCGGCCAGAGGGTAAGAATCCCATTTTGATGGAGGACTATCTAAACATTTCCCCTCCACATTATTTCATCACTTCAGTTCTTAGACCTATGCAGTACCAGGAAATGCTCAGGAAAGTACATAGTTGTAAATACCTGCACACATCTTTGTTGTTTCTGAGTACTGTATACATGTCTATGCCTGACTTTGCAGCACATATTGATATGGCAGAGTTAAGTCGTCTTGTAAACATTTCTCTAAACTGTGGAGGTAGAACAAATCTTTTTGATTGACTTATATTATTGGTCAACTGGAAACTTAAATGGCAAAGGAAAGTGGCAATCTATCATTCTTTCTTTTATTTATGCATCTGGCATTTAGACTTGTACGGCAAATCTGAACTTTGATGGAACCATGAATTTATAACTTTTTATGGCAAGACTGTATCAGGGACTTTCATGATGGGATGTCAGCATCTGAGGCAGTACTCCTCAGTTTGCATACAATCATGCCCAGTATCTCCGATGGCGGACGTTCAAACTAACCATGGCCCTATCCCATATACTTCTCCTTATCCAACCTAAACCTAAACATACCAGTACCTAGGCTTTGTATTGACATTGTGCAGAAAAACTTTCTACTGAATTTGGACTAAAATGAGATTTGGATGCCCTTAGAGAAGCTCTTGTAGAGCAAAACTTTAACTTGCAGTAATTGGAGGTTCATACTATAGTTCCATGACTGTATTTATCATATTCCAATAGGATTATCTGGAATTAGGAAAACTGATATTTATTCCTCATAATGAGAGATTATAGTGTAGATGTTTTCAATGATTGTAGAATTATCTACAAAACCAGTCCCTTGTCTCTCTTATTCAATTCCCTCTGTCTCACTCCACAATGGTCCCATCACAGTGTGTAATTGAAACAGACACATTGGTTCAACATGATTTGTTCTTCCAAAACATTAACAAAAATTGTGACCTCCATTCCCCTTCTCTCTTGGGAGCAATTAACTTCTCATCACCAGTATGTTGGAAACAGCATTTGCAGCTGCTCATTTGGGCAGCAGAGGCAAACCTCCCCTGGCCACAAATGAAAGACTTTTCTACCACCAGAACGCACTTCGTCCTCAGTCAGACAAGCCTCTTTGAGGTCGGGGGATATATAGTTTATTTACATCAATAAAGCAATCCCATTGAGTTTAGATTCCACAATATTATGAAAATCTCCCTTTGTGCATCCTTGCTTTTATTTTATATTTCCATTGGATGTCCAATTGAAGCATTTTACAGCCCCTTGGAACGCTTTCCAAGTGAATCCTAAAAAAAACAGACAGTTAGGAGCTTGACCTATTTTCTCTAGCTTATTCCTCAGCTGAAGATGCACAGGGGAGAGTGTGTGTGGGGAGGTGAAGGTGGGCTGAGAGCTGTGATAATAGGGTGGTCTCCGCTGCTGCCAGCGCTGATAGAGTTGGCTGTATGGTTGAGTTGGTATAGATTGAACCACTCTCACCTCCACTGCAGCAAAGCTCTCATCAGTCGACTGTGTCACCTGTGCTGAGACCTGTCTATTCCCCTCTATCCTGATATGACAGCTGAGGGCAGCCTGAGCAGTCTTAAAGAGCTGCAGGCCAGCTTCAACAAACATAAAAAACGGCACAAACTGGGTTAAAGAGCAACCACCAGGATTTTCCTGTGGACAGTCAAATGGAAATGTGATGGTGTTCTGGGAATGCGAGAGAAAAACGTAAAAGTATCCGGAGAAAACATGTTCTTTTAACTTTTTCCCCCATTTAGGGAATAAATGCATCTCTTTTTTGCTTGCGTGTATACCATACCATTAATATTTAGGTTGAAAGCAATGCATTTACTTTTAATTTTGTGATTTAAAGGGAGCTTAACCATTTAAAGTCAAAACCTGCGATCAAAGTTACTGCTATATTAAGCTAACTATGTTAGCTTTAGCAGAAGGTTTGCTACTTTACTATCGACTGTGACTGAATTTAGCTGCTGCCTCACTTCATTTACAGTTATGTAACTGACTGAATTAACAATATGAGGGTTCATCATAATGGATATTTTTCAATTACAGACAACAGCGAGGGATATATCTTAGTTTATCTTAGTCTAAGTTTATTTATTTTCGCTGGCTCATTGTTATCTCACAAACTAGCTTTCACTTAATGTAATGTAACAAAATAACCATCTCATAATTTATCCCTACCAGATTACGTAATGCTTTCCAGGAAAATTCCCAGGAAAATAGTTAAAGTTTTACTGTCTTATTTTCTAGCTTAGTTTTCTTAACATTGTTAAATACTACAAAGAACCTAAGAAAGAAGAGTGTACATATGGTTACTAAACATCCCAAAAATACAGAGGACATGACTGCAGCATCCTCAGTAGTAGCTACGAGCCTGGAAACAAATCGCGCATAGTGTTAGTTCAGCTCACAGCAATCCCAGGACATCAGCTGATAGCAGCCCAACTCAAGGCCATCTACATCAGCTGACAGCTAGATGATTCCCCTCTTAGCATTCATTGGCAATTCCTTACAAGGCGCCTTATTTAAGCTGCTATAATCTTGCTACATCTGCGAGCTGCTTGTAACCCGCTGCCACCCCAGCTCCTCCTCTCAAGTGTCTAACAAATCAGTGCCATTTCTGTTGTACTGATGCCTGCTCTGTTCTGTCTTTGCTGCTGCTCTCTCTGCCTCGGTTTTGTATGCACATGGATGGGCAGGGAGGTGTGCTAAATTCAATTGTTGTCTTTCAGGGAAAGAAAGGTGAAAGTGGATTGCCTGGAGTGGATGGCCTGCCTGGACCCCCTGTAAGAACATTTTCAGTTTCATAACAAGCTAAATGTACAAACATATTGGTAATACACTGTTTAAAATGACCTCTTGTTGACATACAGTGATTTTCACCTCAATGACCTCTCAAGGAGAGCTGCGGATAATTAATTTGGTATTTTAATTGTGTGGGCTGCTATTTGATGTGACCCACAAAGCACAAAATGACTGCTCTCTCAAAGGCGTCTTCCCTGTGTGTTTTAATAGAGGGAAAATAAACAGGCTAGATTAAAACCAACAGGCTATGTCAATTAATTTTCTAAATTGCTCCCTGGAGCAAAATAGAAATACACCTGTCTTGGAGTGGTGGGTTGAATGAGCTGTAAACAGTGCTATAATACCTCCCTCTAGTGGCTGCTCATTGCTACCAATGAACACTGTCTATTAGAAGTCCATATGAATAAGATTCTTGTGTAAAATCTGAATATTTGTATTGAACATATTTGGTAAGAAATCAGTCCACATATATTGCTTATTAGCACAATAATTATATTCTAATTCATTCATTATTTGTGTCCAAAAAGTCCAAAAGCCCACATTATATGAGTATATGTATGAGATAATGATCAAGTGATATAAATCTTCACTGATGTTATTTTTTATTTTGCAGGGTCCTCAGGGTCCAGCTGGGCCACCAGGAAACCAAGGACATACTGGACCTCCAGTAAGTGATGGGACACAATCAGGACCCAGTACATCTTAAATGATAAATGATATTTGGTTTTTAGCAACAAATAAATGTCTGTTAAAGAACGACATCTTCACATACTGTTCTGTCTTTTTGAAGGGTCTACCTGGTGAAATTGGATTTTCAGGCAAACCTGGAGAGCCTGGAAAGCCGGTGGGTTGGCCTTTTATTCTCAAATAAAAACATAATTTGTTGTTAATAGTACTTTTAGCCATAGATATTCAATCTCTGTTGTCATTTCTCTCTTTATGTCACTAAATGTCAACCTTTTACCACTGATTGTCAAAGGGTCTTCCTGGTAAAGATGGTCTGGATGGTCTTCCTGGAAATGACGGTGCCATGGTCAGTATGACCTATAGACAAACTTCTGTTATCTGTCTTATTTTCTTTTTGCCTTCCATGCTCACAGTTAACAAACTTGTAGTTGTATACTTTAAAGATGCGGCACTCAAAAAATGTATATTGCTCAAATGACTGTGTTATGTGAAAGGGGTTGCTCATCTCTCCATGAAGCACTTTGCACTTTGTTTGAGGTGCTCTAAAAATTAAGTTTATATTATTATTATTATATGAAACCAGAGAGAATTATCATCCAAATCTGCAGTTCTGCTCGGCTCTGTGTAGCTTTTTAGTGTCTTTAAGCTCATTATTTTGATTTTATGGCTGGCATGTTTTGGAGTTCTGCCCCAAGTAGAGCTCAAGACAGCTTTAATTTTAACAACTGTAAGCACTGAAATATTATTTCATGTGAGGCTGATTCCCAAGTCTCTAAGCTACAAGGCATACATCAGCGAATGTGGAAAACAGCAGCAATACCTCTGAAATGTGCTCCATAGTACTATTTTAGCAGCAGCTATAGAGTGGAGAATGCTAAAGAAAGAAAATGTGTAATGTAAGACAATTTGCTTGAAATTCATTGGGAAGCAAGTTTCAGACCTTTGAATAACTGCCTGGATCTCCTTTTTTAAGTAAGACTAAATGGAAATTCAATCATGTCATAAGCACCTTTATAAGCAAATATATATATATATATTTTACATATAGTTTGTTAAAACAACAGCAGTATCTAGCAAATGTTTTTGGCAAATACAGGTTTTTGAAAGTATGACATCTAAATCGAAATCTTGTGTCTCTGAAGGGGCCCAGGGGAGAGCGCGGAGCAGATGGTTTTCCTGGCAAGCCTGGACCTAAGGTACTGTGACTTAATCATACCCAGAAACACACTAGACACACCAGAAGACATATGCAGCTTAGAAGATAAATCTGACATTTTAATGGCCGTGCGTCTTCTCCCCAGGGTGACGAGGGGCCTCCCGGTCCAAGGGGACCTCCAGGGGAGAGAGTGAGTTTGCAGCTGTTGACTTTTTTGGTTTGGGAATTTTTGCAAGATAATGAAACATAGTTTATCATGTAAATCCCATGTATGTTTTTATTATTATTTTTTTTTATCAGGGAGAAGCTGGTTCCCCTGGACAACCAGGTGCTGATGGAGCAAGAGGAGACAGGGGTGGACCGGTAGGTGGGACTGTCCTTTTTATCAAGCATCACCAGGATGTTCATTCACAGCTATAGACCCCCATTATGTTGTTGATTTAGTATTAAATTGTGTAATATCTACAACTGTGCATGTGCAACTGGTATAATAAACCTCAACCCCTTGAGGGCTGTTGGGTATCCCCTAAATGCCACTTTGAGATGCTCTTGAATTCCTATGTCCAATTAAAAAAGTCCCAAGTTACTTGTGTTAAAGTGCATATATGGTCTGTGGAAAATGAGTTAGTTTTACACTTTGATTTTTCTATCTTAGGGAGAAAGAGGACAGGATGGACCAATTGGGCCAAAAGGAGAAAAGGGCGACAAGGTAAATAAGAAAAAAGACACGTTTCATAAGGTAAAATTAAATGTCAAGCATACTCAGATTGGGTATCCTACCATATTAAAGTAGTTATAGACTCGTCCTCTTCTGTCTCAGTAATGGCCACCCTACAGAATTGGCTATAATAAGTTCATCAGTATGCAGACTATGTGAACATGTTGTCTCTTGCCTCAGGGTGAAGTGGGAAGCAGGGGGCCGCCTGGCGCTCCAGGAAATGTAAGTTGGTGTTCCTAGAGTGCACGTGAACATAATGTATAGTCACAGCCCTGATATTTATGACTTAACCATGATGGAGGAAATGGAGTCAGTGATACAGTTTGACTCAGCATTCAGTACAGAAGGCCTGTTTTTTCTTCACAGGTGGCAAATGTCATCCCTGAGCCTGGTGAACCTGTGAGTTGGCTTCTTTCATTACACTGACCAAGCTCTGTTATGAGATTATTGGAATTTTAGAGATGGCTATTTTTTTGTTTTAAGCGCTGATAATTCAAAAGTATAGATAGATATAGATATAGATATAGGTTAATGCTTGGCAACGAATAAAATTTGTAATCGCAATTAATTGCATGATTTTCTTGCGATTAATCGCGATAAATCACATTATTACGCATAAAATTGAATAATGAATTCTAAAGTAGTGTATTGCGCAATTTTAATTTAAATGTACTACTATATACACAAAAGTGCAATAACATGTGGTTTGCAAAGTCTTTAAACAAATAAGGTGCTTTTTACCAGCAGTATTCCCTTTACACAGTAGCAATAAAATATTTCTTGTAAACAACTTCAACATTAATGTAATCAAATCAAGTAGCGGGGTCGGTGCGTGTGTTCACTCGCACAGACTTCACTAGGTTAAAAACTTGAAATGACGTTACAAGTCAAGGTGGATATTTTACAAGCACAGACCAGGTAGCAAAGCAACATTGACCACAGGGTGCAGATGTTGGTTTCTGCTGTTTGAGTTGCATCATTAACAAGCAAGCGGCTCACCTGCTGCAGTGATGACTGATCACGGGTGGAAAAATATGGAAAAAAGATGACAGCGTAGTCCGCCAAAGCCTCCCTACTGCTTGTTTGGGTGGGTGATTTGCAGGCTCCTGTGACCCATGGTTTGACTGTATGTGAATTCAGAGCCAGTGAGCAAAGGACTTTCAAACTAATAATAATAAAATAAAAACTGCGTTAACGTGCGATAAAATAATATGGATATATATAGTATATATTGTTTAAGAGTCAAATCTTTTTCTGCTCTTCCCCTTTGTCTTCTTTTTCATTAAAACTTCTAATTGCATGGTTTGTTCTCACCTCTAGGGAACACCTGGAGAGAAGGGGGAAAAGGGCGATCAAGGGAAACCAGGAGAGATGGTGGGTCTTTCCCTGCCTTTTTGTTGTCTTTTCTTCTTCCCTAAATTATGTCTAGCATTAGACAGAGAAATCCACTAGATGTCAGCAGAGATTCAGAATGGCAATAGTGTAGCAGTCCCCCAATTTGGGAGCTGAGGGGTATTTCTTTAATTGACTGTAACTGTAACTGTAAGTCCCCGTAAGCGGTTGAGGATGGATGGATGTAACTGTAAGAAAGTAATGCACTGGCCTGTGATTTTACAGATATATATTATATTAGATGTATTAGAATAGAATGTAGAATATTTTGATTTAGCTTGGAACTGCAAAATCGTATTCTGCATAAAAACATTATGTACAATTATTAACACACACACACTTAAAATGCTGGTATGTACTTCCATTATGATTATGTTCAGTAAATAATTTAGTCACAGAATATTGTAGCAATTATTCATGCATGGGTGTTGTTATTATCTGCAACCTTCATTAATTGAAAATATTTGTCATCTGGGATCATAATGGTCCTTACAGCAGTTTTATAAGAAACATGACATAATCATTTTGAAAAGTATATGTGAAAACGTAACATATATTGGCACATAGACCTGCACTATTTAACCTCATGTTAATTCACGTGCCTTCTCTGAAGGGTCCAAGAGGTTTACCTGGTGAACAAGGCTTTAAGGGACCACCTGGAGCAACGGTAAGATGCTACTGATCCCGTACCTCCCAGTCAGCAAGAGATTTTAAATGGAATGTTTAACTTGCCATTTTTATTCCAGGGTCCAAAAGGTGACACTGGACCTACAGGAGAGACAGGACGTGTTGGAGACCCTGTAAGTTGTCTGATTTGATGTAATACACCTTTTCACATTATTTCAATAACTGTAATGGCTGATGTGTTCCTCCCAGGGTCCACCTGGCATAGCTGGTCCTCAAGGTTCTCGTGGATTACCAGGGAACGTTGTAAGTCTTCTCTAAAAGTCATTGATGCCTGCTTGCATTTTCTGTGATTATCTTCTGTAGAGAAATTTTGTCTGTGTAATATAAAATTTGAACAGAAGCCAAGGATGACACATCACTTCAGTGTGGAACTACCAGTTGTCTGTCTTCTAGGGCATCCCAGGGATCATTGGGCCTCCTGGTCCCGCTGGACAGAGAGGAGACAAGGTCAGTCACCAGTTTTGAAAGGCTATGGGTATATTTGGATGGTTGTTATTTCTTGTTGTTGTTTTGAATGGTTCTGACAATGTCGAGTAAAAATAAAACTGCAGAGAAGAGAGAGTGACCTTGTATGTCCTCCATTACTCTGATGGAATAATTTCAATCCTGCATCAAGCAGCGTCTACACGTAGCTGTGGAGTTCCACAATCTGCCAGAGTCAGAACACTTTCACTACCTCTCATGGCTTTTTCATTTTTTTTGTTTTCTCTCTTTATTTGTACTCCAGCATTTTCCACACAGATGTTTTGCAAAATCATGTCTGTTCCCCCAACATCATTACTGTTTGCTCACCGAAGTTAGGACGACTAGAGGCTCAATATTTTAGCAATTTGAACACGACTGATATAAGCAAATTGCAGACAAATTGGTATCGGTGCGTATAACGGCTGATAAATAGAAATAAAACTGAGAGACCAACCCTTCAACCCTTCAATCGTGTTGTGAGTGTTGTCATTGAAGTTTGTCCACTAGAGGGCACTCTGCAACTCCACAATGGCAATCAGCTGACATGATCAGCTGGATTTCACTTCAAAGTACTATTTATACCAATAAAAAAGTTTATTTTTAAACCGCATAATGTTATGTTATCGAAGACAAATGTTAGGGATAATCTTGTTTATGTTGATATACAGTATATCGGAATTTTGTATTTTAAAATCCTTGAATATCAAAATGGTCATCAGTCTTAAAAATTCCATATTAGTTGGGCTCTGCAAGCGAATGTGAAGTATATACCGGAATATAAAAACGCTTGTTTGATCGTTCTGACTGAAACTTGGTTAACAGACCATGACTTGAACCGGGATTTTGAAATCAATGGCTTTGGTCAGCCTATCCGGTCAGACTGTGACGCACAGCTGACAAAGCACATGGAGGGGGCGTGTGCTCTATGTCAGTTCAAGCTGGTGTAAGACTGTCGTTGTAAGGGAATCTATTTGTAGCCCTAAAATCAAAATTTCACTGCGCTCGTTCTACGTTCTATCTACCACTGGAAATCCCGCAAGTTTTTATGACAGTGGTTTATATTCATCCTAGAGCCAACATGATAGATGCAACATCCACTATTGTTAAACTTGTGCATCGTTTGCAAAGCATTTCCCCTGATGCACCGCATTTTATACTTGGTGATTTTAACTCTTGTAGTCTTAAAAAGCCCTTCAGTCATTTTTACCAGTATGTAACCTGTCCAACAAGATATGATAAAGTGCTGGACTTGTGCTATGGCACCTTAAAGGGTGCATATAAATCCTGTGCAATGGCGCCATTAGGCTCTTCTGACCACAACTGTGTCTTTCTAGCCCCGATCTATTAACCGGCCCTCAAGAAAGGGAAAGTTGAGCGCAAAGAAGTTTCTGTGTGGACAGAGGGCGCTATCCAGGAACTGATTGGCTGTTTTTACAGTACTGATTGGGATGTTTTTAAAGAGTCCTGCACAGACTTGGATGAACTACATTATTTTCTGTGAGCAAATGATTATTCCCAGGAAGACAATCACAGTGTATCCTAATAATAAGCCCTGGGTTACTAAATCCCTCAAGAACAGTCTCATTCAGAAAAGGCTAGCTTTTCACCAGGGTGACATTCACCAGCAAAGAGATGCTCAGAAGTTGGTGAAAAAGGAAATAAAGCTGGAGAGGAAACAAATCTTGCATCGACTCAGGAACCATATGTTGGCTCGTTGACTTCCTGACAATGAGGTTACAAAGAACCCGTGTTAATAACACTTTGTCTGAGTCATTGATGTGTTCTGTAGGATCACCCCAGGGGTGTGTCTTGTCGCCTTTATTATTTGTAATTTACACCAATGACTGCCAGAGTACATTTAAGTCCAGGTTCATGATTAAGTTTGCAGATGACTCTCTGATTGTCAGCCTCCTGCAGGATCATGAGGTGGGTCATGGACCAGTCCTTGACAATTTTATCAAATGGTGTAATGTCTCATACTTGCAACTCAGTGTCTTCAAGACTAAAGAGATGCTGATCGACTTTCGCTTATCAATGGCAGAGCCGTAGAGACAGTAAGCCAATATAGGTACTTGGGCACCCTTCTGGATGATAAATTGACTTGATGCCAACACTGACTCCATCTGTAAAAAGGCCAACCAGAGATTGTTTTTCTTGAGGAAGTTGAGGGGTTCTAACGTTGACAGATCACTTTTGAAAATGTTTTATTGATCTTTTATCGAGTCAATTTTAACTTTTGCACTGACCTGCTTGTTTGGCAATCTCAGCATGGTTAACAAAAATAGTCTGAGGAAGATTGTTAAACTTTGCCAAAACACCACTGGCACTAATTTGAATGATCTTGAACACGTTTTTAAAGAGAGAGCCATTCGAAAGGCAAAGGCCATCTTGGTGGACCCTCGACACCCTCATCTTGCAGGGTTTGAACTTCTGCCATCAGGGAGGAGGTACATTTTCCTAGGAGGGCCAAATCAAATAGATATTTGAGATTATTTGTTCCGTTAGATGTTGGGTTTTTAAACAAAATGTAGGCCTGGTTGCTGTTGCACATATATTGTAACACAGGAGTTATGGATATATAGTGCTCTATATTTCACCTATTGTATGTTTTATGTTTTTAGGTTTTAGATTCTTTTTATTATTTGGTTGATGTGTATTAACTACTGTTGCAAAACAAATTACCCCTCGGGGACAATAAAGGCTATCAAATCAAATCAAATCTATATGATGGGTTTATGTGCTCATAAACAATTAAGGCACCTCCAATCACAACGCAAGTACTACACATAGAGTAATATTGTAATAAGCCTATAATTTGCCATGGATAGTAGAAATCACACACAAGAGTTCTAGATAAAACAAAAATGTTTCACATAAGAGTATCTAAGGCACGTGCTGACATACTATACCTGATGTAGCCTGGAGAGTCAATAAAGTTCTTTCTTTAATGTGACTTAATGTGTGAATTCATTTTAGGGTGATCCAGGTAAACCAGGACAAGCAGGTCCCACAGGCTCACCCGGAGAGCCTGGTTTGACTGGACCTCCTGGACCACCAGGGAAGGGGAAAGACGGGCAAAGTGTAAGACATTTTTTTTTCTGTCACATGCCATTTATGACTTGGATAACGTTTAGTCAAACATTTTGTGACAGGAAGTTTTTTTCATGTATATGTAAATAATTTGGTATTAGGGCCTTTAAAGAGAAACAGCCATCAAACTAAAGTGAAATTCAGTTGTTGAAAATTAACAAAAAATAATATTGATCTAATTTCTAATATATATTATACACGTATATATATATATATATATATATATATATATTAGCTTCTTATTCCACCTCTCCATTGAATATGAATGTACGAGTTTTCCTGAACGTGTGAAAGATCCGTTTATAGCTGCATCATTCCAGCAGATGCAAATATTACAGATGTCTTGTGCATCATTTTGTACATGTTACCCAATATATGTTGTATCTTTGATATAAAGTTAGATGAAATAGAAAGTGTGTAAGGACTGATCCATTCACAGGTCAGTGGGGTTTAAGAGATACAACATGCCATTGTTAAACATATCATATATTTGGATAATAGAAATGCATAATCATCAGTTCACTTCCCATATTCATACACTAATAGAAACCTCATTTATGTGCCTCTGAGCGGTCTCTTGTATTCCATATGTACGTGTTCTGCTTGTAAACATCTCCATGCCTGTAGTACATGGTGAACCACAGCACAGTTTGACTGGGAAGAAAACGAGCCTTAGTTGGCACATTTTGAGCTTCAGCTCAATATGTTTCTTCATCATTTTTCAGCCCAGACATGTGGCCGACCTGCTGATGAGGCAGGAACAAACAGGAAAAGCGTTGTTAAGACATATCACATTAAAGAAACACAGGAGCACAACAGATTTGGCTCACAGCAGTTCTTCGTTTTTACAGCTGCCAGGTGCGGCCCTGAGGCCTCGCTACAGTTGTGTGTGGAAAGAATAGCAACTCGCACACTATTCGACTCTACATGATTGATTCAAAAGAGGCTTAATTCCAGTGTTTGAGTAGCATGTAATTTGATTGATGTCATTTGTGATATTACAGGGAGAACCAGGACCACAGGGAATTCAAGGCCCCCCAGGGCTAAAGGTAATGTCATTTTAGAAGTTTGCAAGAAAGTGCGTGCATGTGTGCAAGCTTTGTATGTTGCCTGAGGTGTGTGTTTTGTTTAAATCATGAACAGGAGCTCTTTTGATGATATGAAAAACAATTTTTTGGGGCATGGATGAGAAAAACAATTCATTTTCGTTGAAAGCAGCAAAAAGCAATTTCTGTGTCCACTGCACTGTGACCATTGCTCTGATTATGAGCTGTGAAGAGCTTCATGTCGAAGGCACAGAATGGGAGCGGCTGGACACAGGCATTTGTGGGATTTATGGTGTCAGGTCGCTCACCCTCATCATCGATACGTTTTCTCTTCTGAGCACCAAAATGTCAACTGCAGATTGTTTTTTTTTATTACAGATTAAAAACAGAGTGGTATTTGTGGGATCAGCAGGCATCGCTGAATGTGACAGTTTCTGTGCCAAGCGAGACTCTTAGCCAAACATTAGGGTAGTACTGACATTATCTGAGGAGCAGGATTGTGAAGAAAACTTTGTTTTGTTTTTCTCCCAGGGCCAACCAGGGTCACGAGGAGATCCTGGGTCACCAGGGGAACGGGGTCCTGCAGGAGAAGGCAAAATGGGACCACCGGTATGAGCGCCGATGCCAGCCTGTGTTACATTAACTCCCTCCACTGCATTTTATTAACACATTTTGAAATGTATAATGTTTCTGTTTTTGCAGGGGCCTCCGGGAAATAAGGGGGATCCTGGACCTGCAGTAAATGTTTTCTAAAAATGAATATTGCATATATTTGTCTATAAAAATGATATATTTCCCTAATGTTGGTTTATCCGTGTTCCAGGGCTTGAGGGGTGCTCAAGGAGTCGCCGGTCCTCAGGGCCCAGCAGGACATAATGTGAGCCCAATGAATGAATAGATTATTTGATGCACATGTCTTATTGCTTGGAGACCCATGGATCCGTTGCTATGGAGACCCAAAGTGACTCATTGCTTAGACTGAAGCAGCAGCCAGTCACATACCTGGCTCCAATCTGCTTTACTTGATTGTAGGACAAAAACGTTGTGGTGAAAAGTGACATCATGACGTCAAAGTTTTCATAAAAATCTTTTAATGGTTATATCATATATTTTGTCTGTATTCATTGATAGTTCTTATTTATATATTTGATCCGCCTTTGCTACACATGCAGGGTATACCGGGAAGACCGGGAGAGAAGGGATCACCAGGAGAGCCTGTAAGTACAGAAACTGGCAGGGAACAACTACTGGTTGTGTTTATTCTCCTGTGGTTGATTTAACGACTATATTTCACTTTATTCAATATGTCCCATATTGTATAAGTGAAACATTAAACAAAAATTATAATTATTGCAATGTAATTTTTCCTTTTGAATCACAAACAAATTAGCACTTAATTTTTCTATTAGGTTGTTTATTTTGTTGAGGAAAAGGGACTGAAAAAGATTTCCTAATCATAATTATTGAAAAAAGATTTTATCAGAATCGTTTTGAATATTGTACCTCAGCTTTGTGAAGTAACCCACAACCATCAAGTGTTTGTCATGTTCAGACCATAAAGAAACCTCAATTAACCATCTGGTTTCTTCAGCTTTCACTCAGGAGCAAAAATCATGATTTCATGATTTGGGCTACCCACTTTAGTTCTACCTGATGGAAATCTTACAGCATACGCAGAGACTGAGGTCCATAAAGAAATGGTTTTCCTAATTTAGTGTGGAAACACTTGACCAGTCTGCAGGTCAGGACTTGAACTCCACCCGGAAAGAACCCACGCAGACACAGGGAGAACATGCAAACTCCATACAGTAAGGTCTGGGGTGAAGCCACAGTGCTCTCCACTAGTTCACCGCGCCGCCCGCATACTAAATATATATAGACATTTTTGGAATAGAACCCTAGGTCGCCTACTGAAGAGAGACCCCTAATCATGCGCTCCCTGGTTGATTACCTCTCTGGTTCACTGTCTTTCAGGGAAAGGCAGCAGACCTCTCTGACCTCAATCTGAAGGTAAGGAGCATTTCCACCACTTCTCAATGAGAAAAGACTTAATGTTTGGATCCTGAGACTGACCACTTCATCCCCAACATGTCTCTGCCATCTTTTAGGATGTTTGCTCAGACTGCCCTGCAGGTCCACCCGGACCACCCGGTCTCCCAGGAGTCCCGGGGGATAAAGGACACCTGGGACCTCCAGGGAAAGATGGTCAAGATGGTTACCAAGTAGGACACAGTCATTAATATCAACCATTGTTGCTGATAATCTCACTTCTCCTGTGACGTAAAGACTATTATGATACCTGTGCTCATCTTTAAAGGACTTTTATAAAGTGGGTGTCTCCACTATATTAGCCCTAAGTGAGGCATGAGGTCGTAGCTGCACGTTTGTCATCATCAATCACAGTTGGTGCGACGGATGGAGGAGCTCTCTCTGCATCATTAGCTCGGCCCTCTCCGGGGGGCAGCGGTGAACGATTAGGGCCCGGTGACGGCGCTGAGCACTGTCTGCCCGGACAGAGACTGATGCTCTGCTGTGTCGTTACAGGGCCCGCCAGGACAAGCCGGACCTCAAGGGCCGCCTGGAGCTGACGGTGGAAAGGCAAGCCGCGCCACTTATGGCTCCCAAAAGGCTTTATGCTAATTAATTGCTTTTATCAAGTGTTTTTTTTACCTCACAAGGTTCAGGTAATATGGTGACAAGTTTAATATCAAAACACCACTCAGAAAAGGTATTGGATCATATTTCAAAAGCAATATAACAATACTGCTACATCCTCTTCCTTTATATTTTGAATATTTTGAGGTTTTATTTTCCTTTGACACATAGTTTGTCAGATGTCTTTCCTCTTGAAATATGGCATTTTACATGATCTTTTTTTCTTTTTCACCACAGGGTATTAAAGGTGATCGAGGACCTCCTGGAGGCCCGGGAGACAAAGGAGACAAGGTATGTTTGTTGTTCATGAGTCATGAGTCTGGCGCTTATCTGTCGCTTCCCCTCCTTTCTCTCTCTGTTGAAGAAAACCTTCATTACAATTTTGTCTGATATGAATCACATAATTATATTTTAATCACTTTCACAGGGTCACCCAGGACCCCCTGGCCATCCAGGTACTCCTGGCTTAATGGGTACACCTGTAAGTTACTGTTTCGGGCTAATTATCTTAATTTCTGTCAGTATATGCACTTGAAATGGTCTAACTACTTAAGTTTTTTGTAAACAGAGCTCATTTATGTGGATATTATTTCTTTTGACCTCCACTGACACTGTCTCTTTCCTCTTCAGGGTAGCGATGGACAGCCTGGCCCTGTCGGTCCCCCGGGGCCCCCTGGAGAAAAGGTCGGGATGCACTCCATGTACTTTCCCCTCGGAAAACATATTACCCATGTGTCATTATTGTACAAACCTCCTCCCTGTAACTTGTAGGTCAGCCAGCATGTGTGGTAATAGCGGCCATTAATCATTTCTTTTTCTTTGGTGACCTGTTTGTGTTTGCTGGTTTTCACTTAGGGCAAGGAGGGTCTCAAAGGAATCCAGGGACCACCGGGTCTTCCTGGTTTGATTGTAAGAAAAATGATTTGATGATTTGAATATATAGATACCATTCCTGCACTTGGGTGTAAACAGTGAGTTGTAAATAGGTCTTTACAGTTGCAGATGCTAAATGATGAATTTCATTGATCTGCAGGGTGAGCCTGGAAAAATGGGAAAGGATGGCAGACCAGGTGAAACAGGAGAACCTGTAAGTAAGATGGAGATGTTTACAATGTCATTAATCTCTACAAGAAACTGTCTGTTTTTAGAAAGATTTGATAGTATTATGTGACCAGATGATGATGCTGGAGCTATTTCTGTTTTCATGTCAGGGCAAGCAAGGTGAACCTGGACCAGCAGGAAACCCTGGGCTCAGGGGACCCCCGGTAAGTAACCACCAGTAAATAGATCTGATGAAGGAAGCTGGCAGTGTTGATTGCTGTGACTGATTCACTGCTGTATCTATACAGGGCTTTAAAGGCCACAGAGGAGAACCTGGAGCTCCAGGACCTAAGGTCAGTGTGCTGCTTTTTTGTTTTTCATGTATTTGAACAGGTCAGTTTGCATTTAAGAAACACAAACAGTGCTATTAGTTATTCTTAAGCACAATTTCCCTGCCTAATGAGCTTCAGCATCTGTAGTGAGCCACAATTACTTTGCTCACGTGTTGCTATGATAAAAATAGTGGGAGAAAGGGACATATCAGTGGTGTATAAAATAAACTGTACAAGCTTCTAATTGTACAAACTATTCTTATTTTCCATGTGGTGTAAGACTCGTAAAATTATTTTTAGCTTACAAGTTTAATGCTTGAAATGTCTTACCTTCTTTACTATGTCAAAGTAAATTAACACCACACATTGGTGCAATGCAACTGCAATGAAATTTTACCCATTTCTGCAATTCCATGAATAAAAAAAGAACACATAACTTCAAAGGACAAGAAGCAGCAGCATTTCTCCTTTTACTTTTCAAGGGCATGCAGTTAAAGCTTCCACATTTTGTGCCAGCACTGTTCAATTTAAACACTTCACCATAAAAAATGTGGGCTAAAATGGTTTAAAGAATCTGACACTGTATGAAATAGAAGAAAATCTACCCCGGTGCTGTTCTGTATATGTTCGGTGACAGAGTTTTTGCTCTATTTTGATGAGATGTGCAGTTTTCCAGGCAACAAGTCAGTGGCGCTGCATGCTGGAACAGCTACCTAAGTCTAGTGTTTCTACAGGCCTAATGCAGTCAGGTGTCCTCTATTAAAGTTTGACATAACATAGAAATGTTTTCAAATGGTTTATCTTGATCAAATGACAATAGTAAAACTGCTACAAAAATAGTTAAATGGACCACACAAACAGCAGAATTTTTTTTTATGAAATTACATATGTAGAAGAACATTCCCTGTAAGTATCAGCATTCTTGGATTTGAAAACTACAGCATCTTCAAACTTAACTGCAGTTAAAGCCGGTGAGGAACATTAGATTATGCATTTAGAAAGCTAACCTGCTCTGCTCAACAGTCCTATCTTGAACTGTTCACTGCAGGAGTTCAGGCAAAAGCACACATCCAGTTCTCGGCATGCCGCATTGCGATGTGAAGATTCAGTATGTCTGGCACTTTTTCCACACATCTTGTCCGAGAGAATCTCTGCACCTGCTGCTTTGTCTCTCACACGGCACACACCCGCAGGAAAGTTGCTGTCAGAATGCCGTGACCAATAGCATGGCTCATTACAGACAGCTCTAACTGAGCCACAGCGAGGCAGGCAGCCTCTCAGCCCTGCGGCCTGCACTGCCACACAGACAGCAGACAACTTATTAGATGAACAATGAAGGGTTTCCATGGACAAACTGAAAATTGCCCTCTACTGCTTATAATTACTGTCACTAAATGTCAGTCAATACCGAAATTAAATTCACTATTTTTCGGGAAATTAAAAGTTGATGTATACAATAATAAGTAGCCTATAGATTTAGCACAGTACGGTCAGTACAATGTAGTAGTGTCATCTTTATAACTACGTGGATCGCAAGTTGCCTTTATCTGTTCTGTGGGCAATACAATACTGTATGCACATTATGGAGCACAAAAATCAACAAAATGCAGTAAAGGATATCAGATGAGGTAAAGAAAAATAACCAACACATAGTACATTTAGTTAATTACATATAAGAGCTTAAAATAAAATATAATATTTATCATTTTTAATGCTTAATAATTAGGTGATTGTGTTTATGTATGGCCAGATGTAGAGGGTTTGTGGCTTGCTAGCCTTACATGAAAACACTGCAAGCTAAACACATGGAATAGGGTTCTCTTAATTTCATGCTTTAGCTTAGGATGTTGATTGCTGTTATGTTTGACCCATTTCAGGATTTGCTGTTTAAAAAATGTGCTTTTAGTTGCTGCAGTCCCCTGCCTTTATATCCTGCCTTTACATATACCGTTGCAGTAACACTGTGTAAACTCCTGTAACAGCAGCTAAAACATTTTAGCGGGCAAGCTAATGCTAAAAACGTTAGCTTGCGAACACTATATAGTGCCAGTTTTAGAGCTCCATGCTTTGCAATGTTACAAATACAGCTTGTAGTTTATTGTGTTTTCAAAGAGTCTTATTTTCTAGTTTCTTTTCCCTACTGTTCATAAATGCTTCATATAGGATATGTTGCTGCCGTCAGTCTTAATACTAGATAATAACGACATAGTTGAAACTCATTAGAATTTGAGGAACTACATGAAAACTTCATAGCTAATATGAATATGCATATATAATATTAAGTACATTAAGAGCATCATTTTTAACTTAGCAGTAAAATAACTCACCTCTTGGCAGAATTGGGCTTTTGAAGACACTAGACACACAGGCACTATAAGAAAACAAACCAAACTGGATAGAAATGTTTTTTGTTGCTCTGTTCCAAGACCTTAAATTAGGCTTCGATGTTTCTCTTATTTCATATCTTATCTCACCGAATCAGGGAGAAGATGGAAAGTCTGGATTACCTGGACGTGATGGCAAACCTGGAAAGGAGGTATGTTGAACCATATCTATTAGCAATTTTTATTTTCTATATGCAGACACAGTGAAATTAGAACAATCCGGAGGAAAAATGCAGTTTCTCTTATTTATGTGATAAAATTAATGAATTATTTAAAACACAAAACAGCAAAAGCATGGATTCTAACACAGATCAGTATGCCTCTACCTTATTTTTTTTTATGGATTTAAAAGAAATGGACATACCCCACGGCAAATATCTGGCTTCTCTATTATTCCCTCTACTCTTTCATCTCAGTCACCCAGTTCTGAAAAGGAGCCACTCCTAAGGCACATTCCAGTTGCTGAGAACAGTCATTATTGCTGTCTGGACCCGATCATTTATTGGTAGATAGAATGCAGATAAAACTCCTGAGATTAAAAATGTTTTGGTCAGAATGCAAAATTTCCAGCAGAACACATAATCTTTAGTCACGTCTATTTAATACTAAAGGTCCAGTACGGACGCCATTTGAACTTCATATCTTTTGACTTAGTATGAGTTTCCTCCCATTCATATTCGTCAAATGACAAACTGAAATCCCTCTCACATACACATGTAAAGGCTGCAGCACTTTTATCTCCCCCATTTGTCTACTAGCAGGATGTAACACTTCACTAAAAACCCTGGCTGTGGGGCTTAGACAGAATGTTCTCACAGTAATAAAAATAAAATATTTTTCCACCTACGTCTCCCACAAAAAGCGGAGCTGAGATTTAAGTCACGACTGCAGGAGATGGTGGATTCCAATAAAGATAAAGTTTTTCTCACCAGATGAGATATGGTTAAGATCCTTCCCTCCCCTTTCAGCATGTGGACAACATAATGAAACTGCCTATTTTTTGTTCTTGCAGGGCTCTATGGGACCTCCAGGCCGAGAAGGACTTAGTGGACCAAGAGGAGAGCCAGTGAGTCATTTTCAATCACTAGCAAGGCTGTCTGACACAAACAGAAGACAGACGCAGCACAGTGTCAAGCAGACGGATAGATATGGACACAAAGTGGCACTCAAGTCTTTTCTCTTGCTGTCCTTCCCTATCGATTTTCTCATTCTGTCTTTTTTCCATCTTCTTTTGCATCCCAGGGCAAGCAAGGAGAACCAGGACCATCAGGGAAAGCTGGTCTACCTGGAACTCCAGTAAGTTATCTATTCCTATGGTGCATAATCTTAAAAATCTATTTGCAACAGGCTCTCGAATGACTAACAAACAATAGAAACACCTAAACATTTCACCACAACAACTCAATAAAAACGGAGAACGAGAGTCTTTGTTTCACAGAATGAACACATTCAGTAGAGAAAGCAGGAAGGACATAAGAAAGAAGTAGCATTTGCAGAGCCAACAGAGCAAGCAGTCACTGTAAGCGAGAGGAGGATGAGAAGTGCTTCTAGAAGAGATGAGCTGTCAAATCATTATTGTGAAGATGAGGGTAAATGTTGCCCTGACCAGGGTGGGAACATCACTCCCCCCTGGGTGAGCTAGGATTGCAAGGAGTTGACCATGTTGCAAGAAAACTGATCAGAGGATAGGGAACAGGTTGGAGTGGACCATCACCTTGAGGCACAAGGCCTATAATACCCTCAGTGGGTTTGCGTGCCACGTAAAGGTTTTGCATTTCACAAGTGCAATACCCATGCAGAGTCCCTGGCGACAAAGATTCTGAATCATCTGATGATGCGGAATGCAAACAAGGTCATGCTGGGATTGGGAGGGCAGCAAGCATCGAGGGGAAAAAAAGCTCAGACTTGTCAAGGTTGTCCTGTGTTGATTTAGAGGTATCAGCCAAGGTGTGCATGTTAAGCTGAGTGCAAAGTATTAGTAGATAAAGTAGTAAATATATTTAAAAGGCATTAACATTACAACATTTTAATTGAGGAAAAAATGCACCAAATCCAAAGGAGGTATTTCCAAACAAAAATGAACATCAGAGATCACGAAGTTCTGTGTACAGTTAAGTCATGTCCATAAAGGAGCTTGCTACCATTGCTACAAGCAACACACACCTGAATCTCAGATCCAGCTGCTGGCGAGTTGCACTGTGGGCAATGTAGGCATCAGGTTTTGACAAGGGAGAAGAATGTGTGAAATACATCATACAACATCTCAGTTACATCTGTTTTTATCTGTCCATTGTACAACAATATGAATCTATTGAGTAATCTTTGTGGAAAAAGAAGGGGTGAGTCTGTGTCTAGTGACAGTGGTGTGGACATGTGTTGAAGTCAAAAACTGTAATACCTTACAAGTGAGGCAGTCAGTAGTGATGTGCGATACCACTTAATTCCTATCTGATCCAATACCAAGTAATACCCAGGCTGGTATTGCCGATACCAGAGTATAATTAGACCATCCTGGTGACAGTAAGATACTTATGATAAAACACACACTCACTCCAAATGACTGAGTTTAGATATCAATCCTTTTATATGAGTATCGATCCTAGAGCAGGAAACGTAGGTATCAGAAATATCGATACTTTGGGATCGATCCGCACATCACTACCCAACAGTTGCAGTAGGTACTGATACTGTCTGAGGGTGCTTTCAAACCTGCCTCATTTAGTTCGGTTGAATCGCCATAGAGTTTGTTTGCCCCCTTGGTGCGGTTGGGCAGATGTGAATGTAGCAACCAACCACCTTGAAGAGGTGGTCTCGCTGCGCTTTCAAACGAACTCAGGTGCGGTTAAAACAACAACAAACCAACCACAGGATTTAATGATAACAGAGATGTGACCTCAGCATTATTTCCAAAGCTAAACCACTAATAAATCCCTCTGCTGACTGCTAAATATGTTCAGCGATCTTATAATTTATCTGTATAAGCCATGCTATGTTTATGAAAATCATTTGGTAACGTATATTTGTCAGCACATGTATTTCCCTGATTAATAGGTTAAAAAATCTGTTAAAAAAGGAGAGCCAGTAGTACTCAGTTTACCATGTCAGTTCATTAAGTCCATCAAACATTTGTGACAGCGATACCACAGTAGGCTATACCATAGGCTAATAAGCCCCGAATTACTGTACTGTACATGCGCATAATAAATTAGTACTTTGTGAGCTCTTTGCGGACATACAAAAAAGCCTTGGATGTCCCACACCCAACAGGAAGTTGGACATTTTGGATATAATGGTCATATTTGCCGATTTACACACTTCGTACTTTAACAAACTCCTAGAGAATTACTCCAATCGACTTCAAATTATCTAAACCCGTTGCCGATTAAAAGTTGTACAAACGGTGAGTTTTCGTCCACGAGCGTAGCGGCGAAAATCAACGATTAGCCACGAAACAGGAAGTTGTTATAATTTCAGTGTACATGCTCACATCTGCACCAAATTTGACATGTATGATAGTATGATAGAGCCCCATCCTGAACACATCCATATGCCATCATTCACTCAAAGTCACAGCGCCACCTGCTGGTAACAGGAAATGTCACGTTTTATGCTGTGAAGGACTACTCCTAGGATGTTGGCCATATCAACTTCAAATTGGTCCCAGAAAACTCTTGATGCCTTGTTGTAAAACGGCGTGGCGGTGGCATGGCCGCGAAGTTACAGCCTTCGCCGTGACACCGGAAGTTCTTGTAACTTAACTGTACATGCTCAGATCTGTACCAAATTTTAAACGTTTGTTTTGAGTCCTGCCCTGAACACATGCCAATATTCACCCATAGTCAGAGCGCCACCTGCTGATAATAGGAAGTGACCTTCAAAGAAGCAGCCCCCCGGCACATTTTAGCTAAATGTACAAACTTTCTGTGGCACATGTACCATGTGTAGCTGTACAAATAAGCCTCTTGGAGCCATTGCCTAAACCCAACAGGAACTCTGCCATTTTAGATTTAATGGTAATTTTTGTCTGATTTACACACTCCATACAATAAACAATATTCATACTGTTTGAAATAAACTGTTTCATAGTAAGCTATTTCAGTTTTGTGTGAAAGGAATTAAAGGCCTGTCTCATGTGTACGCCTGTCCTAAATATAGGCAGGGTCAATTATGCGTATATGTGTGTGTTTGCTGTACGAGATGCAGCACTCTCCTGCACCAAACAGCTCTTTAACATAATTAAATTGAACATTATTTCATAGAATGGCACTTTACTGCATAAACAGCACCTTAAATTACATTACCCTGTCTGCTAAACTGTGGTGTCTTTTATAATATGATGTTGAAAATTGTGGCGTCTCTTAAATTGTGTGTATCGTATCCACTTTCAAGGTTTAGCTGTGTTACCTTGTAGCCTAGTGTGATGACTTGACGGGGGACTACAGATGTAAAATAGTCTTTGGGCTAACTCTGGCATATTTACATTGATGAAAAGCTAAGATGCCCATTAATATGCACTGTCCCTTTTAAATAAATAAAATAAAAAAAATAAATAAATTCAGCAATTTTAGCAAATAAAAGCCAGAGCTATTAATTGAAGTTTTACGGTATATCAGCAAACACTATGTGCAGTTCTTTATTCCACAAAGGCATGACCATGTTGATTATGTTTAAGCGTTGCACTTTACTGCCCTGGTAAAGTCATTTCAAAGTGCTGGCCTAGTCCTCACAGTGCTCCTCGAGCCCTTTTACTCTATGTACTCTCACAATTTCGCTGAGCACACAGATGAGGTTAATTAAAGTCTGCGAGGGTTCAGCGATCAGAGTTTATAAGGTGACAGTGGAGATGAAGAGGAAGGGAGAGGCAGATGTCATCATGGCAGATATAATATGTAGCAAGGAATAAAATCTAGTAAAGATGATGATTGAGGCAGCTATTTATATTATTTTTTTTGACGTGTTTGTATCATTGGCAACAAAATGTGTTTTGGAAAGAAATAGATGGAGCTGCACACCGGTCTGTGGGCTGAAGGATGGTTTCCTGGGAGGAGGAGTAAGTGTTGCTAACTGGAGGGCAGACGATACGCAGCCAGCTATCACAGAGGAGTTGATGATATCTGTCAGCAGAGGGAGCAGATCAGCAGAAATAGCCTGGAGGAGGGAGGAGGGCAGGGACCTGATGCAGAAAGGTTAGAAGAGGATTTCAGTGGAGGGTGAAGGTATTTAGAGGCAGGATCTGATATTGGCAAAAATGCCATCAGATGGCCAAATTTAACACACAGAAAAAGGAGGGCGACGTGAGTGGAAAGAAGCAGAGAAGATCGCATATCTATTCAAGAATATAAAGAAGAGAAAGTGAAATATTCTTTCTGCAAGCGTTAAGAGATTCCTTCACTCTGTGGTTGCCATAACCAGCTTGGCCCATATGTTCCCTGTAAATATGAATTTTAATCTCTCCAAGCTGGCATGTCCCACTGCAACAGTGATTTATGAGATTTTTATCCACAGCACTGCTGCATGTTGATAAGAACTGCAGCTAAATGTTAATCTTGCTGAATCCTCTACAACGAGCGAGGCTTTTAGAAGTACAGTGTGTCACGTGTGTGCCATGTGATGAGCGGCCATGTCTCTGCTGTTATACAGGGTCTTAGGGGAGACAAGGGAGACGCCGGCAACCCAGGATTACCAGGCTTTAGTGGGCCTAAAGGCCCCGCGGTGAGTGGTAGATTTGTGATATTTTGATAAAATTAAATAAATTAAATGCGACTGTGTAATGTAAATTTTTATCTTAATTTACAGGGTCCACCTGGTCCAGTAGGCCCAGAAGGAAAGCAGGTACGCACTTCATAAGACCAGTGATGACTAATATGATATAATATATACAGATATCTTGCTCACATCCACTGCTTTGGATGTTTTGTAGGGGATGCCGGGCAGAGTTGGCGATCGTGGCTTCAAAGGAGATAAGGTGAGTACTAGAGATGTAAGCAAATACAAATACATGATTTTGATATAAACAGATAATGTGGTCATAATAGATTGAAGATAGAAGTGTCAAACCTGCAGTTGAGGGATGCAGATAACTCAGTCCAGTCGAAATAGACACACATACACACATGCAGCTACAAACAATGGAAGAATGTCCTTGACGGATTTAGACAACATGCTTCTTATCATTTCTGATCTTGTATTCAAGTAAACACATACAATTTGACAAACACAAGCAAATGAAGAAAAGAAGTTGACTGTGCATGCACAACATTTAGGAAACAAATGCCACATAGTGAAGAAAACAAACCCGCTTCAAGACCAGAAAACACAACCCTAATACAGAAAGGGCTACTGAATACCTTTATTAGATAGTGATAATGGAGACATGACGGGACAGATAGTAACCAAAGCAGCAGGACTTTTCATGATGCAGATTTAAAAACACAGCAGGTTTTGGATCAAAATAGAGACATTTGGCCAGGCCTCTCATCACTCACTTTTTGCCAGTTGTCCGATTTTTTCAGGCAGTGCAGCATGAAACTTGACTGATATGTTATTTGTACCTCTTGATCCGACACTGAAGCCTGTTACCGTGTTGATTTGACTGTCAACAGTAAAACGAGTTGAAGGTCATGCAAAATGGGCAAACAAAAGGCCTTTTCAGATTTTTGTCAATAGCTTTCTGAGTTGGACACTCATCTGGCCCCCTTCCATTACACACACAACCACTGGTTCTTAAAGAAAACCATGCAATGTGGCCCCATACAATTCAGACTTGTATTTTCCCACTGCTGACACCCTTGTTCTATTTCCACCCTTCATGTCCACCTTTAATTTTGCCTCATTTCAGAGAGATTTTATTTTTGACGACGCTGGTTCAAATAGGCTACAATTTTTATATGATTAATTTAGGTACATGATATAAAGCAGAAAAAAAAATAACACCGAAAATGAAAACTAATAATAAATAATAAAAGAGATTCGAATAGATAAGCTACAGGAAGACATTTTTGTGAAATAAACAGATACTGATACAGGAGTGAATAGATGGGGAACATACATACTTTTCCCTCACTGTACCGTAATAAAGCAGTTATTTTGAAGGCTTATTTACAATTGCTGTCATCTAATGCAGGGAGACCCAGGTGTGAAGGGAGATAAGGGACACGCAGGTGATCCAGGTATGCCCGGAAACCCTGGACCCCCAGGCAGAAAGGGCCACACAGGAATGATGGGCATGTCAGGACCACCAGGAGAACTAGGACCTCCTGGGCCACAAGGACCTTCAGGAAACCCCGGTCTCCCAGGCCAAAAGGTGAGCCACATTCCTGAAAGCTTTAAACTAAATTTGATTTTGAAACAGTGTTGTCATACGCACAGGTATTAATAATTGAATTAATCATTAACATCTTTGTTGGCTCAGGGAGAGTCAGTATCACTGGAGCAGATGAGACGGCTCATCCAGGAGGAGCTGGCAAAACAATTAGATGGTGAGGGGGGCCATTTCTTTTTTGGGTCTTTCCTGTAGCTCTCAGTGGGATGTCTAACTCATTTGGGCTAATGTCGTAAAACTTTAGTAGGACAGCACGAGATTTAAGTAATTTTTCTTTTCTGTTCAGCCAAAATGGCTTACCTCATGGCTCAGATCCAGCCAGCCCATGTGAAGAGTACAACGGGCCGTCCGGGACCTCCAGGCCCTCCAGGTAAAGACGGCAGTTCCGGACGACCTGGCCCCCCTGGAGAACCCGGTATGCCTGGACAGAATGGAGGAGAAGGACCCAGGGGACCCATGGGCCCTAAAGGTAGGACGGAGAAACATACTGGAGCACTCTGATTGGTTGTGTGTGGGTCCTTTTTAAAGTTTCTCTTACTTTATTGTTTCTGCAGTGTTTCCAGTTCTCGAATTGGGCACAGATTTTGCCTATTGACTCAGAGTCATTTAATCATTGATTTATCCAACTTGCTGTCTTCAAGAGAATTTCCTCATTGCATTCTGTATTAGCTGTGAACAATATAATTTAGTGCATTCAGGGCTGACTGCTACATCAGATTGTAGAGAAAAGAAAGAACAATTCAAATATTTGAGCCAAAACTTTAATTACAAATCCGAATGCGATCCGATGTTTAAGATACATCCCTCAGATACCTTCTGTTGTTTGTGTAAAGTATATTGGGACCATGTTGTTGGTGATTTTACACTTTAAATAAACTTGAGGGGGTGGAACAGTGGTGCAGTGGTTAGCACTGTCGCCTCATAGCAAGAAGGATGCGGGTTCAAACCCTGGTTGCCCGGCCTTTCTGTGTGGAGATTGCATGTTCTGTGTGGGTTCTCTCCGGGTGCTCCTGCTTCCTCCCACCGTCCAAAGACATGACCCTAAATTGTCCTTATGTGTGAGCGTGAGTGGTTGTTTGTCTATGTGTGGCCCTGTGATGGACTGGCGACCTGTCCAGGGTGTACCCCGCCTTTCGCCCGATGTCAGCTGTTGGAAATAAACTTGACTTGACATTTAAAGTCATAGTTTGAAAAACTCTTATTTGCTTTCGAGCTGAGAATTAGATGAGAAGAATGATACCACTCTTATTTCTGTGTGCTGAATACGGAGCTACCATGAGGCAACAGTTAGCTTAGCTTAGCAGAGAGTGGAATCAGCGAGGGTTAGGGTTGGAGACAAAATCCACCTTCCAGCCCCTCTAAAGCTCACCAATAAACACGTTCTATATTGTTTGTTTAGTCCATGCACAAAACAAAGTGGAACAATGTCACGTTATGGATTTACGTGAGGTGCCAGACTATTTCTTGGCTGGGCACAGTTGTGAACAGTTTCCTGAAATCTTGTCGTGATTGTGAGGTTGACATGCAACCGACGGAGACAACAGGAAGCGACTGCGCCTGGCTAAGACATAGTCCGAAATGAAATGAAACCCTCCCTAAAACTGTGTTGTTTTTGTACATATGAAATAGACAAACCCCATTTGTAACACTCCTCCACAGCCACATAAGATATTATAGAAGTTCACAGGCTGTGTAGCACTATATTAGGCTGGTAGACTTCCTTCAGTGGAATCAGTGGAGTTTGACTGATATTCCAGACAGTGCAACCATTTATTTCACAAACCAAAAAGGTTTTCCACTGTCCGCAAAACCTTTCTACAATATACAGTACATGCTCACTAACTGTCCAACTGTAAGCCCTCTTACACCTTTTTTCCCTTTAAACTGATATTCATTGCACATTTAATCTCACGCCCTAAAAGACTGGAGATTTAAAGAGAGTAACTGTGTGTGTACCTGCTGACTTAGGCCCTGTTCAGACAGTTGGTTGTTGTAATACATGTCTTTTTCCAGTTGTTTTCAATAGACAGTAAGCGTTTTGCACGCTGCTCATGCGCCCTGGGTGTATTCTTTATTTAAGACGACTGGAGTGCCTCACGTTTTTGCAGTACTCTTGTTACGGAAGCCAGCGAGGCCCAACACCTTAAGAGATGCCCAGCGTGTCCACCTCCCGTACCCGAGGTTGCCGGTTCGAGTCAGAACCGTGTAGTATGTTCTCGTGAGCAGCTGGTTAGACTCTGATCGCCTCAAGCTGAAAAAACAGAGCAGAAAAGTGCCCAATGTCATTTGAGTTTTTTCCCATTGTCCAATTGAATCAGGTTTGTGACTTTACTTCACAGCAAATAATGGTTAGGATAAGGACAGGTGATTCTGCGGTTGCCTAGAAAATTGTGCATCTCTCTCACTCCCTACCATTCTGTACATCACCCAATATGTTCTTTATATACTATGAATATACTGTATACATATATACAGTATATCATGAACAAATTTCAACATACACTACTGCTCACTGTTCATTGTTAATTGTTCATTAATAAATATAACAGTTGATAATGTGTGGACATCTTAGTGACTAATTTGTTTTCCTGTTCCTTCCAGGTGAGAAAGGAGCAAAAGGAGAAAAGGGAGAAACTGGTGTCGGTGACAGAGGAGAGCAAGGGCCGCCTGGCCCGATAGGTAACAACCTCTTATTACTCTGTTCTGATTAGATTGGTTTCACCCATTCTGGATCCCCTAATTGTTTATCTTCCTCCTTTAGGTCCAGCCGGTATGCCTGGTTATGGTAAAGACGGAAGCCCAGGACAAGCTGGAGCCCAGGGAGAGCCAGGAAACCCCGGCCCCCACGGTCAGCCTGGACCTCCAGGTCCTCCTGGCCAATGTGACCCCACCCAGTGTGCCTACTACGCCAGCCTGGCACACAGACCCCACACCAAAAATGTCAAGGGGACTTAAGAAAGAAGAGACACAAAGAGCTTGAAGTCCAGCTGTATTTATGAACTTGGTCGTGTCAGTCTGAATCAAGAACTTTTCTTTTTCAAGATAACCTCAGTATGGAGGGCTGAAGCAATATGTGCTGCCGGTCAGATTCTTTGTTTTGTGTGTTTTCGGTATGAAGCTTGGGATGGATGGGGATTGAGCACGAGGGGATTTTTCAGATTTAATATGGGGTAAAGAGGGCAGCTAAACAGTTTTTTCCTCACTTGCATGCTTCCTGTAGAATATATAGGGAGATAACATGGATGGTGCACCCCATCAGGAGAGAAGATTTGGGAGTTTCATATTGTATCATCAGTAATCATCTCAAAAGTTCAGCTAGGCATTTTCTTGCAGGACTATGTCTCCACCACAGACCCCCCCCCCCCCCCCCCCCCCCCCCCTGGCCTCACACCATTTTGCATCATTTACCATTCACAGCCCACACTGTCTAGCAACAGATGTCACTCTTATGGCTCACTAAATTCATCTCTTGCTAGGGATCTTCTACCAGTCTATTAGTAATTACTCAGTCAAGGGAATTATCTGTTTTATTGTCAGTGATGGGAGGGGGGAGGACAGGCAGTGTGAGGCACAATCTCAAATACCAATAGTGATTCTGTGTAGGAGGAGTGTTAATGAGTAAGTGTGGGGAGTGATGAATTACCACATTTGTGGCACTTGCACTTGCTTCTTGCCTCTAGCTTGTGGCACCAAGCTGGAGGGAAGGAGCATTGTTCTTACTATATGCAGCCTTGTTTTGGATAATATTGGCAACCCCAGAACTAGCAGAAAAATAAAAGTACTTCATTTTTTTAAGTTATCCTTGAAACTAATTGGAATTTTGTTCTATTTGTAGAAGTGAACGTGTCTGATTTATTTAGACAGAAAAAAATTAATTCTGTTTATTTGCCTAAATGCAACACAGTACCCAAAATATCAATAATTTTGTATGAATTTGTATAATTTTAAAATCTAATATTTCTAATTTTGAATTGAAATTCATTAAAAATGTGCATGAAAATCTGTCCAAAATAGTAATAACAACAATGATTTGTTCCAAACTCACCCACAGGATGCCTATTAAAACCAAGTCTAAAAAGAGAGAAGTCAAGACAGGAAGAAATGTCAATGTTCAGACTTTTACTTTTATGTTTAATGAAGTGGCTCTGGTCATTCTCTCTTTGAGGTGTACATAGACTTGAGGAGTAAACAGCTTTGAGGAGGTGGTATAATTGCCGCCTTTGTTCATCTTTCTTGAAAAGCCCAACATGTGTCACTTCCTTCCTTATTAGTGCCTACGCTGTGGCAGTGTCTGGGCAGCTCGGCCCCGCTCTGAAAAGACATTGCTGTTCAAAATTGTTCCCTGGAAACTAAAATTGGAGAGTTGCTTCCCTGCATCCTGATGCCCAGACCATAGTGGTAACCATTTGAAAGATGTTTTGCCTTATGTCCCTCATGGACCAATTACACTCACCCCAACCTCAGACGTGCTGGTCGTCTAGCACCTATTATATAGCCTCCACTAAAGGCATCACATTTGTCTTCCTTTCAAAAACATAAAGAAACACTTAAATACATACACAAGCAAAGGGGAAGAGGGGGAGCAATTTTCAAGAAGAGAATAGAGAGATTTTATGTGGGCTTGCCAAGACATACAGTATGACCACAGGTAAAAAATTATGACTATATGGGCCAGTCATGCTTGTGGTATCAAATGGAAGATCATTTATGAAGATTGAGTTGTGGCTCTGACACAACTTAGTTTTGAAGATGTGAAGAAAGCAGACTGCTATTTCTTGGCTGCTCTGGAGGCAGGACTAATTTGATTTGTTGAGTCAAACCAAGGGTATGTAATTTTTGAAAAGGAAAACACGCATTCTTTATCTTATAAAAGAAATTTGGTATACAGCTACAGCCCCTGGTCTAACCAGTATCTTATGGTGGATGATATTAGCTAATATTTACCATAATTCAGCTATTTTCACCTTTAGTCACATGTGGACAGAAGTTCCATAGTTCTAAAGTTACACGGGCTTGCTTCAAACTACTGTAGGCTAATTGGTTCTTACAGACAGTTAACTGGCAGTATATGCCTTAGGCAAAGTGTGGTCTCAGAAGAGAAAACATGAAAATGACTTGCTTTTCATTAATTCATGGCCATGGTGTGAGGTTAGACATTCAGCTGGCTGGACATACGAGCTTGTGTTAATGCCTAGCAATTGCTGTAAAATTAGCTGGTCAGCAAGGCTAACTAGCTGCTTTTTCAATGTGACATACTTAGCCAAGAAACCTGTAGATGTTACAGTTCCTTTGAGGTTTAACTCCTGACCTCAGAGCAGCTCCTCCTCTGAGAAATGTTCATATCATCAAAACTACATTGGCAAATGTTTGCAGCTACAGTACATTATGGCTAATTTCATACAGGTTATTGTATGGTAGCTGCTTCTTTGTCAGTGGTTTATTCTTGAACTATCAAACCGTATCAGTATTGCCCCTTCTTGGTTTTGTAAATGCTTGTTTCAGTCACCAGTAGACTATGTGTTACAGGGTGGTAAGGATGGTAAGTTGCTGCACATAGCTTGAAATTTTGTAATGCATATAAGCCAAACATCTTTCATTATTCAAGCTGTTATTCAGCTGTTTTTGGTAATTGAAAGATATTTTTAAGTTATACTGCTAAATTATTCATGATTTGAACCAATGCAAAAGTGTTGTAATGCATTAACTAAAATATATTAACCCGTTTTGTTTTTTTTTTCCATTTATTCCTGATGAATTGGTGCTAAGAGATTTTAAATTAGTAGCATATTGAAAGTATTGGAAAGACACATGTACTGTACTGTATAATAAAGACTGGAACAGATTCATTTTATAATACAGGCTTTGCTTTGTTTTTTGAATAGGCAATGCTTGTCTCACGTTGTTTGTGAGATCCTGCCCAGTGCTATCACTGTATGTTTAAAATAAGGTCCCTTTGAGTTATGCTCTTCTCCTGCCATCCATCATGTTTAATATGAGTATGCTGAAAAAAGCCAGTCTTTTGCTGAGCCATGTTTTATGAACATTGTGCATCCGTTATCTTATGCAAATAACTTAAGATGCACTGGCTCTAAGCCATGATAAGATCTATTAAATCAAAGGGATGTCCTTGGGGTGGCTGCTATCCTAACTTTTCCCAGCAGCTAGGTAAAGGTCATATTTGATCTCTGAATGTATGTGTGTTGTTCAGACAGACGTAGGGGTGATGTTGACTCTCCTTAGTAACCTGGCAACAATGAAATGCCCTTTATCTAGTTTATATCCATAACAACCCAGGGTTTTCAATACAAAACCATTTTACTTTAGAGCGGCTGTGGAAGTTCATTGATTGCCCACCTCACCATGTGCATAGCAATCAACTTAATTCTCTTAATCGTGTTATGTAATAATGTGACTCATTGGCATGCATTTTCATACTAGCAGACCATAACTGCAGCGGCCCTAAGATAGATGTTGTGCTCCATTAAACAGTCTTAATACAGTACTATGCAACACTTCCAAAACATATCACTTTATTACATTGTTTGAAAAAGGGCATTAATAAGACATCAGGCAAAACAAATGTATGATCCTAAATGAAAAAGCACGTTGTTGGAGATGTCTGCTCATGTCTGCACTTAGCTGTGAAATTTGAAGATGTGAAACTGTTTTGTAATATTCTTCTGAAAGCAAAAACTCAAAACATTGTTCCACTTTAGCAAATTCTGTTTCTAACTGGCTCATGGCTGCAGTGGAGAATCAGTGGGTCAAAATGGCATCTGGTATGCTGTAGGCTTTACATGTAGCTGGAAGAGTAGAAGCAGTGTTCACAGGGAGCTTATTCAAGGAATGAAAACATACATGCATAAGAGGAAACCAGAGAGATGTACCTTTATAATACTTTACAGCCTGCTCATATTTGTTTTCCTGAAGGTGATGGGTCAACAGTTGTAACTGCATTGATTCGTATGGGACAACTCGTGGGCCTGCGTGCCTGCCGTCGGCTGGAGGAAGTTGCTTCGGCATCAGTAGCAGCTATCTTTGAACATTAGATAAGCCCTCACCAAAAGCACATACAAGTTAAACATCTATACAGTATTCTACAGTTGTGCCTTGTCTCTGTTTCCCTTCGAGTCCCTTAGATTGGTGGTTTAGATGGAGACGTTTGAAGACTCCCAAAGGCCGCCACGCCTGCACTTCTGAGAAGCCCTTAAACGTGGTCACTGCAGGATGAGATCTGGAGTGTTTCAATGTGCTGTGATGTCTCAAGGGTTCTTGTAGCTGGCAGACTTCTTTCCACTGACCATATAGAAAGGCGGAAGTCTGCCTATACAGGTTGATGGATCACAAAGCCCAGGTGGCCCTGCAGGTCCCCTTGGACCCGATGCTCCAGGGACACCAGGACTTCCTGTCTCACCACGTTCACCATTTTTGCCATCCTTGCCAATGCCAGCAGCGCCTGGTGCACCTGAAGTGGAGATAACAAAGAATGTGACATTTTAAAGTGGAACTGAAATTAAAATTCCTTTTCGCAAAGACATGAGTATATACACATATTGTATATCCTTCACATTAGTTTAGCACTTATTTAGTCAAAACTGTAATTAACAAAAAGAAAACCAACTGACACTGTGGGTATTGTTATTTAATTGGTGCAACATCTGTGTGCCCATAAATAGTTCAAAATATCACTTCATTCCCAGTGGCCACACAGGAAACAAGGCAGCAGGGGAACTGACAATATTAGAATCATTAGAGTTGTGATGTGGGGAGGGATGCTGTTTCCAGAAGTGTTTTTTTTTGTTAGTTAAATTTTTTACCATTCTTTGATATCCTCAATGTTACTTGAGGATAAATATTTTAATTATTTCAACTGCATTTCATGTTTTGTCCAACAATTTGGCAGAGGGTTCTAAATGCCGTGCAGCGGAAGGGGCATGGGTCAGAGCTGCAGTTGGAGAGAGAGCCTAGAGGAAAAAAAGGGCGAAAAACTTGCCTGGCTGCTCTGTGAGTTTTTGATCTGTTGCACTCTAAGTAAAGGCTTGAACAATAACTAAACTATAATTCACTAATGACAGACTAACAACACTCGCTGTTGCCATGGAGAGGAAGCCAGTAAGAAGCACCAACCAGGGCGGTTGATAATTCATATCGCTTCAGAGTTGCAGTTGGGAACAAAAGGTGGGCCATAGTTGCTAAACTCCTCAAAAAGTGACCATGAAAATAAAAGTGAACTGCTTTAAGCTGCAGATTGTAAAATAAATGTTTGCAACACTGCAATCTTCTGTCCACGGTTAGCTAGTTAGCCTGGCTTGCTAGCTTCCACTATTTGAGTAGAATACAACATTAAAGGCACGAAGAGTCCTCACAAATGCTGGGGACAGACTGTTGGCTGTGTACAGAGGTGTAAAGTAACAAATACTTCGTTACTGTACTTAAGTAGTTTTTTTTTTCCAGATTTGCACTCTTGAGTATTTCAAGTTGTTGCAATCTTTACTTTGACTTTGATACATTTCTAAGCTAGGGTGACCATACGTCCTCTTTTTCCCCAGACATGTCCTCTTTTTGGGACATAAAAATACATCCATCCGCGATTTCTAAATCACCCAAATGTCCGGGATTTTGCTTTGACCAGTACCTGTACTATTAGGCCTAAATTTTACTCTTTAGTGTACTGGCACTTCTCACAAGCTGCTGCTGCTCTGGAGTTGGGACAAGCTCGATTACTTTTTGAATCCATGCGTGTGCATGAAGTTATCACTTTTTGTGAACTGACCAATCACAGCCTGGATTGGACGGGACATTAAACAAAGGTTGATGTGGTACTACAGCAAACTTTTGAAATGTTGAACAAGTTCTACATGAATGGTTATTATTATTGACAAGTCAGTAGGCTACTTAGCATTAACAAATTAGAGACTAACCACCATATAGAGCATTTTTCTTGCACAAGGAAATAACGAATGGGAACAACCTTATCAGAATGAAACTGCTGTAACTGAAATTAATGTTATACTAGTGGTAAGCTTTATATGATACTTTTATCTGAAATTAGAATGAATACACTGATATTGGACTTAATCAAAGCTTAACAAGACAGAAAAACACCTGCATTGATTGCACACCTGAGTGGAGCAGCATTAAAAACAAATTTTATAAAATTACAAATTTATTCGGCGCAAATCAACTTCGCCCAGCTGATGCGTCACCGGCATACACCATGATAGTAATCAAGTCACTCTCGCACTGTGAGTCGCCCCTACTTTGTGACAGTGGCAACATAGTTTTGCAATATATAAACATCTAAAAACTGAGGCACAAACTTGCTCTGTTTGGGATTGTAAGCTGCACTTTATCAGAGGTGCTAAACTTTACATTTGTGTGGATTTGTGGTGAGATTTCTGCCTAAAGTTAGTTTCGGTTTCCACCTCCTTGTCCCATCCTAAGAAATAGTCCCAAATGGGTCTAGGTGTCTGTCAGACGGTCTGAAGGGGATACTACCACATCGCATTTTGTAAGATCAATAGATTTGAATGTGTGGTACGTTTACCTGAGTAGTGTTTTGCTGGATGACTTTTACCTGAGTTACATTTTAGGGTGGTATCTGTACTTTACTTAAGTAGAAAATTTAAGCACTTTTTCCCCCACCAGCTATATACCAGCTCACACAGTATGGTACACACTATGTAGACTTGTTAAAAAATGGGAAAAACACCTTGTATCGTGCTATGACGTGTTCTAGTCAATAGTGCACCACGAACGTTAGATACCCTGTGCAGTTTTTGACCACTAGCAGCTAGTAGCACACAGTGCATGTGTGACGCAATACACAATTTTGCCAATTGTGTCACACAATTTCACTGATCTACAGGTGGCTGTAATATGCCAAGAATACCAGTAATGTGATAGCAAAGGCACTGAAGAAAAAAAAAAGTACTAGAAAGCAGGCATCAAAGCAGGATTTAAAATCTTAACAACAGCTTTTTAAATGTTGTATGAGGAAGCAAATGCATTCAGTCTGTCAGTTTATTAGACTTCTATGTAAACAGTTTGTTTGTTTGTTCACAAGAGAATTCCACAGGGTGTCTTTAACAGCAAAGTCCTTGAAAAGTCAGTCAAATGGGAAATGCCCACCCTGCGGCTTGAAGCTTAGATGCTGTTTCCATATACAGTATATGCCCAGAAACATTTTCTTTTAAATCTGCACAACAGCAGTAGTTTATATATATATATATATATATATATATTATAGTTTATATCTCCTCACACACAAAGAGGGGGGAATTAAATGTGCAGTTCCACTGTTAATAAAGAGGTATGTAGACATTTTGAAGACTCTCTCTTGTTTCCTCTCAGCAGCAATGTGCTCTAATTGTGACAAGAATGTAGCTTTACCTGGTGCACCTGGTGCGCCGGGACTTCCTTTGATTCCTACACCGTCCTCTCCCTTGTCTCCCTTATCTCCCTTTTCCCCAGCATCCCCTGCAGAACAGAAGAGCACATAGAGGACACACACATTAATGCTGAGATAAAATGGAGAGGCATACTGTTTTCACAGTTATGGCGATGTAATTAGGAAACTTAATGACTCCAGTTTGATTCAGCCTTGTTTAGTGAATCATTGATTGTGTGATGTTATGCATGGGTGAATCCCTTCCATCTGCAGAGCGCTCTACAACTTCTTGCTGTGGCAATGTGCAGACGAAGGTGTACTGCCAGGAACCACAGCCTTGTTTTCTCTGAAGGCTTCATTTAATTTCTTGCCACTACATCCACTGTTCTGGATGCTCTCCAGGAAAATAAAGGAAAAGCAAAAGTTATCACAGCAGCACAGCTTATCTATCACAGTGCCGGTGA